ATCGAAACTCGATCCTATTTGATCCAGAAAACAGGATCGAAACTCGATCCTTTTTGATCACGAAAACAGGAGACAAAATCCTTATCAAAAATGATCAAAAAGGATCGAGATTTAAACTCGATCCATTTTCGATCAGTTTTTTTCAGCAGGGAGTCGTCCAAGAAATCCATATGGAACCCTCCTTTTCTAACCCTCTCACTTGGACCAATTTTAGTTTAATTGTACAATATTTGGATTGTTCAATTAAATTTAAATTGTAGATGGATCTTAAAGGTACTTTTTGATTTTTGCCTCGGGCACATCGGTAATCCGTGCCAACCCGTTTTTACGTGGACCACGTTGTTGCGCACCCGCACTAATCTATTTGTAACTTCATTATCTATCGGTTCCTTTTCAACCCTTCCTTTTATTTCCCCATTTCGACTCAACTGGGAGGACTTCAAGGAGAGCCAAGGACTTCTGGAACTTCTGGAGATCATTAATCTTATATGTGAGTATATAATAAAATTATTTTTCAAAAATCACTGTTATATTATAATTTAGTCTGTTTTAGATTGCTTTAGATTGTGATGGAACTTTAACAGCAGTCGTCCAGGAAATCCATATGGAACCCTCCTTTTCTAACCTTCCACTTGGACCAATTTTAGTTTAATTGTACAATCTTAGGATTGTTGAATTAAATTTAAATTGTAGATGGATCTTGAAGGTACTTTTTGATTTTTGCCTCGGGCACATCGGTAATCCGTGCCAACCCGTTTTTAACGTGGACCACGTTGTTGCGCACCGACACTAATCTATTTGTAACTTCATTATCTATCGTTTCCTTTTCAACCCTTCCTTTTATTTCCCTATTTCGACCCAACTGGGAGGACTTCAAGGAGAGCCAAGGACTTCTGGAACTTCTGGAGATCATTAATCTTATATGTAAGTATATAATAAAATTATTTTTCAAAAATCACTGTTATATTATAATTTAGTCTGTTTTAGATTGCTTTAGATTGTGATGGAACTTTAACAGCAGTCGTCCAGGAAATCCATATGGAACCCTCCTTTTCTAACCTTCCACTTGGACCAATTTTAGTTTAATTGTACAATCTTAGGATTGTTCAATTAAATTTAAATTGTAGGTGGATCTTGAAGGTACTTTTTGATTTTTGCCTTGGGCACATCGGTAATCCGTGCCAACCCGTTTTTAACGTGGACCACGTTGTTGCGCACCCGCACTAATCTATTTGTAACTTCATTATCTATCGTTTCCTTTTCAACCCTTCCTTTTATTTCCCTATTTCGACCCAACTGGGAGGACTTCAAGGAGAGCCAAGGACTTCTGGAACTTCTGGAGATCAATTAATCTTATATGTGAGTATATAATAAAATTATGTTTTTTCAAAAATCAATTTTATATTCTAGTTTAGTCTGTTTTAGATTGCTTTAGATTGTGATGGAACTTTAAGAGCAGTCGTCCAAGAAATCCATATGGAACCCTCCTTTTCTAACCCTCTCACTTGGACCAATTTTAGTTTAATTGTACAATATTTGGATTGTTCAATTAAATTTAAATTGTAGATGGATCTTAAAGGTACTTTTTGATTTTTGCCTCGGGCACATCGGTAATCCGTGCCAACCCGTTTTTACGTGGACCACGTTGTTGCGCACCCGCACTAATCTATTTGTAACTTCATTATCTATCGGTTCCTTTTCAACCCTTCCTTTTATTTCCCCATTTCGACTCAACTGGGAGGACTTCAAGGAGAGCCAAGGACTTCTGGAACTTCTGGAGATCATTAATCTTATATGTGAGTATATAATAAAATTATTTTTCAAAAATCACTGTTATATTATAATTTAGTCTGTTTTAGATTGCTTTAGATTGTGATGGAACTTTAACAGCAGTCGTCCAGGAAATCCATATGGAACCCTCCTTTTCTAACCTTCCACTTGGACCAATTTTAGTTTAATTGTACAATCTTAGGATTGTTGAATTAAATTTAAATTGTAGATGGATCTTGAAGGTACTTTTTGATTTTTGCCTCGGGCACATCGGTAATCCGTGCCAACCCGTTTTTAACGTGGACCACGTTGTTGCGCACCGACACTAATCTATTTGTAACTTCATTATCTATCGTTTCCTTTTCAACCCTTCCTTTTATTTCCCTATTTCGACCCAACTGGGAGGACTTCAAGGAGAGCCAAGGACTTCTGGAACTTCTGGAGATCATTAATCTTATATGTAAGTATATAATAAAATTATTTTTCAAAAATCACTGTTATATTATAATTTAGTCTGTTTTAGATTGCTTTAGATTGTGATGGAACTTTAACAGCAGTCGTCCAGGAAATCCATATGGAACCCTCCTTTTCTAACCTTCCACTTGGACCAATTTTAGTTTAATTGTACAATCTTAGGATTGTTCAATTAAATTTAAATTGTAGGTGGATCTTGAAGGTACTTTTTGATTTTTGCCTTGGGCACATCGGTAATCCGTGCCAACCCGTTTTTAACGTGGACCACGTTGTTGCGCACCCGCACTAATCTATTTGTAACTTCATTATCTATCGTTTCCTTTTCAACCCTTCCTTTTATTTCCCTATTTCGACCTAACTGGGAGGACTTCAAGGAGAGCCAAGGACTTCTGGAACTTCTGGAGATCAATTAATCTTATATGTGAGTATATAATAATATTATGTTTTTTCAAAAATCACTGTTATATTATAGTTTAGTCTGTTTTAGATTGCTTTAGATTGTGATGGAACTTTAACAGCAGTCGTCCAGGAAATCCATATGGAACCCTCCTTTTCTAACCCTCTCACTTGGACCAATTTTAGTTTAATTGTACAATCTTAGGATTGTTGAATTAAATTTAAATTGTAGATGGATCTTGAAGGTACTTTTTGATTTTTGCCTCGTGCACATCGGTAATCCGTGCCAACCCGTTTTTAACGTGGACCACGTTGTTGCGCACCCGCACTAATCTATTTGTAACTTCATTATCTATCGTTTCCTTTTCAACCCTTCCTTTTATTTTCCCATTTCGACCCAACTGGAAGTACTTCAAGGAGATCCAAGGACTTCTGGAACTTCTGGAGATCAATTAATCTTATATGTGAGTATATAATAAAATTATGTTTTTTCAAAAATCACTGTTATATTATAATTTAGTCTGTTTTAGATTGCTTTAGATTGTGATGGAACTTTAAGAGCAGTCGTCCAGGAAATCCATATGGAACCCTCCTTTTCTAACCCTCTCACTTGGACCAACTTTAGTTTAATTGAACAATCTTTGGATTGTTCAATTAAATTTAAATTGTAGATGGATCTTAAAGGTACTTTTTGATTTTTGCTTCGGGCACATCGGTAATCCGTGTCAATCCGTGTTGTTGTGTACCCGCACGTAAGTAATAATTTTGTTTTTAGCATATTTTTCATATTTAAATACTTTGTTTTAGGAAATTATAGGTAAATAATTTGATAAGGAGGGTGGAGGGTAACTCCGCCAGGTATTTTTAACCTGCCGGTCCCAAGCCCGGAAAAAGGAGGAGGGCCCTCACTCTTTTCCTACCCATAGAAAAACAAGGTTTCAGCAAAATAATTTTCATTTTTTGGAATCAGCGCAACAAATTTACCGTAGAAAAGTTATTGGCCAGTTGATAAATATTTTATTTAATTTCCATAAAAATATAATATGTATTTTGAACAATTAAGGTTAAAAATACAATTTACCGTAGAAATAGCACAAATTTTAACGCAAAAAATATACTCACTAAAATTATCAAACTTGTGGCAAGTCTTTCCAGCCGCGGCAGCCACATGCAAAGGGGTGTACAAATTCCTATCGTTGGCATTAACATCGGCCCCATTTTTAATTAAAACCTCAGCGGTATCAACGTGCCCCATCTGAACAGCACAATGCAGGGGCCTGACGTCCTTTTTGTCGCATGCATTGACAATGCAACCTTAAACATGGCACGCCGTTTTAAAACTTATTAAATAATTTTTAAATATCAAATTTTATTGTTATATTAAAAAATTTAGGTTTACATTTAAATTTAAAATATTTTTAACTATCATGTATTGAAAGACAAAATTTACTAACAGTTCACTTCTGTTTAAATCATTTTTTAATAAAAATAATTTCTTAAGTAATTTATTTGGCCAAAATTTTGTAAATCCCAAACAAATTTTGTATAAAATTATTTAGATTAAATTGGTAAAGCCATTTAAAATAAAAATACATAAAAAATATTTTTTACCAAAATAGTTTAAAAACTTAATTTTTTTTAATCTCAAAACAATTGATAATAAAAAAATATTTTAATATAAAATGCAAATGTATGGCAAGCCGTTTTACTACTTAATGTACAATTTTTATACAATTAATAGTTATTTAAGATATAAGTGGGATAAGAGCTTTATTAACGTACGCATGCGAAATTTGCCAAACGAGTGCGTAGCACGAGTTGGGCAATCGCAAAAGTACGTTAATAAAGCGTTATCACACGTATATTGTACAAATTTTTATCTACGCCTCTAAATGAAAAAATAAACGGTAATTATTTTTGTCTAAGACTTAATTTAGGGTTATTTTGACATTTTGACTTTTTTATTTGATTGGTTAAAAGCAGAGAAAAACGCGTGCGTTAATAAACTTCTTATCTCACTCGCTTTTTCCTAATGAAAAATGTGAACCAAACCTTACCAATTTGATGTTTAAAGTGCGACGATGCCACACATTTTCGATCTGGTGAGCTTCGAAGGTCATGTAAATTTTCGATCTGGCGAGATTCGATCTATTGAGTTTCGATGCATCGAGGCGTACCCAAATACCACATAAGTTAAAAATGTGAGTGCTTATAAAACGATGAAAAACATTAAATTCAGTTTCAAATAAAATGGTTAAATATGTTGTTAAAAAGGTTTTCTTAATAAAATTAATTTGTGACCAAAAACAACTGGCAACAAACCAGAGAAGAAGAAGAACAACTGGCAACATTGTAAAACAACAAGATTTCGCATGTTATTATATTGACAGATGTCAATTATATTTAAATTTAAGATAAGAAAACAAATGTTATTAAATAATTGTGCACTAAATACGAATAGCAAGATTTTACATTGCATATAAATGTTATTTCTAGACATGCCAGTTATAGGTATACATAAACAGGTTGTGTTTGCAAGATCCAACTGATTTGTTATTTTAAAATTCAAGTTTGTACTTGTAAAATGGATGAAATAATTGAACTCGATTCCAGTGACGAAACAATTGTGTTAAATCCGTCTGAAATAGCTAATTTAGATAATGATTCTAATAGCACAGAACAAACGGATGATCTACTAAGTGAAGCTGATTTAATACTTAAAAAATATACATCTGACTTAAAACCTGGTAGTAGTGCATTTTCATCACAATCAAACTTTAATGAATTTTCTGATGATGAGCCTTCAAGCAAAAAAACTAGAAACTCCAATGATTGTGATGAAATTATGAGACAATTGAATAGTGAGGATAATATTTTTAAAGAATTTGCTAAAAAATACAAGAAAAAAGAGGATGTACCCAGTACTCATACTGGTTTATATGATAAACCTATTTTATTAAATAAAGAATTGGAAGAAAACTTTGACCAAGATACTGATTTTTTAACAAAAACAGATGATGATCTAGAAGCTGCTGATTTGTTGATGAAAGAAATTTATGCAAAATACAATCTAGGCAGCATTAATTCTAAAACAAGTAGCAGCAAGTCTTCTATTGAAGAACAAGGGGGAAATAAATTAAAAGGTAAAAAACCTTTATCGAAGAATGAGAAAGCACTAGAAAGGGAAGCAGCAAAAGTTGTAAGAATGCAGAAAAAAGATGAATTGGCAAGGGAAAAGAGAAATAAAGAAGCTTTAAGAATGTTAGAGAAGAATATAAATCCATCTGAATGTTTAAAGGTAAATATTGAATAGGTATGGCATAGGTGTGTCAAAAAATACAAAAGCAAAAAACTATTCCAGAATATGTATTTTCCTTACACTGGGTATAATAAATTAATATGTATTATTAATAAAAAGTAGTTTATTACAGTTAATTTTGATGATGAAATATTTCAACAACCTTATTGGAATGTAATTATTAATACTTTGCAAAATGCTAATGTATCATTTACAAAAATAGCACAGCCAATTCCAAAATTAATATCATGGACCAGAAAAACTAATTTTATTGAAAAAGAGGTATTCATACAAATAATATTTTCTGTCCATCAAAAATTAACATTTTTTATTTTTTTTCAGAAACTAATTTCTAAAGACATTGAAGAACAACATTTGCTGTTGTTAATGGACTCGAAAGATTTTTTAATCCACATTAAAGAAAAAACCCTTACGATTTTCATACAAAGCATACATTCATTGTTCACAGAGAAAAAACAATTATCATTGGGAGTTTATGGTTTGGCACAGTACTTTAAGTTTAAAAAAAATAAGGAAAAAAGTGATTTTCAATCGGCAATAAGGGAGACTGAAAGCAAAATGCCCAATGGGTTTAAAGATTTTCCCAAAGTCGACAGAAAAACAGTTGAATTTGCTTTGGCTGAGTTGCAATTGTTTTGTTTGTGTTATTTTAGAGCTTTGGAAAGTCACGATGATGTTTCTGTGTTTATAATGGAATGTACCAAATCGGTCGCCAAAAAACCTTATAAGTAAGTTTTAATTTTACCCTTTTTATGATCTAAAATATGTTATTTAATTTTAAACATTTTCCACAATCATAATTAATAATTATTATAATTATTGTCAAAGTATTAAAAAACATGTTTTTTAAACTGTTCAAAAACTGTTTTTTTAGTGTTTTAAACATGTCCATAGAGTTTTTTAATTGTCACAAAACATATCCTCCAGTTAAAACATTTTTAAAAATAAATAAATAAAATCTAACATCTGTTGGACAGTTCTAACCTTACTTTCTCATAGTTTAAACCTGTTCATAATTCCTGTTGCGGTTATTGGAGTAGAATAAATGTCACAACATTAAAAAGTTTTATTTTGACAGTTGAGGTTATGTATCTGTCACTTTAACGCTATTATGTAATTAATGTAATTTATTAAAATACTGCATACCTTTTGACATAAGGTGTAACGGAGAAATATTTAAAAAAATATTTTTCCAAAGATAAAGAAAAAATATGCATTAGAATTTTTTTATATTTTTTGTGATAGGTGCGCCACTGGTTACGCACTTGTGTTCTGTGTGTACAAAGATACCAACCAAGTAGCTGCGCGTTGCCAGTTGTAATAAATTGTAATAAAAATTTGTCTTGCAAAAAATAAATAAAAACTCAATAAATACAAAAGTGTTATGCCCTTAAAGCTCTAATACCCTTCTGTATTTATTTACTCATCCAGCTATTACTTAGCTTAAGCAATGATTAGAAAATTTGGTACCTATTTTAAAAACTCCATAAACACAAAATTCATTTTTTGATCGGTTTTTTTCTTTCTGTTTGGTCAGATGAAATTAGGACAAGTTTGCAGGTTAAACTTTAAACATTCAATTTGTGTAAATAAATCCAAAAGCACTTCCCTTAAGATATTTACAATTTAAGCAAATAACCTAAAATTTGAAAGATATGCACCAGATTCTGTCACTTACCTTCATTACAAAAATGACATAATCAACAATTAATAAAAACGCCAAATTAACAATTTGCATTGTAATTTTTGTAGTTAAGCTAAATTTAAGCTAAATTTAAACAAAATTTTGCAACTTTTTTGACAGAATCTGGAAACGCTGGTTGTTACCAACCATAACATAATAAATTAAATTAGGCAATCAGATTAGCCTAAATATCCTACTTGATCAGTGGCGTACTTTTTGGTAGGATGAAGGTTATTATAACTTATTTTTAGTCTAGAATTTAGAAAAAAAAGTTTCAGGTGCTTCTTTATGGACCCTAATTAACTACCTATTTTAATACATTACATTAATAACATAATACCCTGTATAAGGACATTTTTGAACCCAAAAGTAATGGTTTAAAAAAAAACAAAAAAGTCGTATAGAAATAAAAAAAAACTTCCCATTTAGTAAAAATATTATTTATTATAAATAAATAATATTTTTAGATTAAAAAAGCAAGAAAGCTACCAACAAGAGACTGAATGGTTTCAAGGTGACAAAAAAGACTGCATTAGAGTTGATAAACATGGAAATGGTCTTTCTCGGCTATGGACACAAGTTTTAACAATGTTTCCTTTAGCGAGACTAGAGACTGCAGAGGCAATTTCATCTCTTTATTCGAATCCAAAAGCTCTTTTTGAGGTAACTCAAAATATTTGTAATTTTGTATGCATAAAAACAATGATTTAAATATTTTTAGGCATACGATAATAGCCAATCAGAACAGGAAAAGGAGCAATTACTACAAGAACTGAGAGTCAGAAGAGCTGCAGGCCCAAACACGTCTTTTAGAAAAATCGGACCTGAAATGAGTAAAAAAGCGTCTAATTTTTTTAATTCGCAAGAAAATGTTTTACTGTAATTTAATAAATTATACCTATTAACCAGTTTTATTACTAACTAACCACAAAACAAAGTTTTTTTCTGGGTTTAGTGTCTATAGATTTTAGTTTTGGAGAATTTTTGACCCCCTTTTCTATTCATAGTTACTTTTCCTGTGAAAAGTTGGTACTGTTTCAATACTGCAAATCCGGCAACATCGCAGCAGTCCGCCATTTTTCACGATTCTCCAATGTTTTGAAAACATAAATAAAGGTTAAAAATATTTGGAAACGTTTTCCTAAAAATGGATAACAATATGCTTTGCAATAACACATTGAATTTTTCTGAAAATTCCCAATTGAGCCACAAAATATATGAGGTAATAATAATTATTGTTGTTACTTACAGGTTAATGAATACTGACTATTTTAGGCTCAGGACTCGATGCAGACTGCAAATCCTGCAGATTTCGATTTTGCGACCCCAATGCGCAATTCCTTCATAAAAAACCCGGAAGATTGCATGAAATACGCGTATTCAAACGACAGAGAGAACTGGGCCATATCCAGCGATCATTGTTATGCCAGACCGTGGAATTGGCGGCCAGAGAGCAGTTTTTTGAGGCCCGCTAAAACTTTGTTTATTCAAAAATCACAACACAAAAGTAACAGAAAGTCGACAAATCCTCTGGCGCCGTTGCAAGACGCTGAAGATTTAATAGATGTGGACAGTGAGCCTGTCGATCAACCACTTAATTATGATTTTGATAAGGCTAAACAGTTAATGGACGAGTGTGATAGGTTTGTTGAAACAGTGAATCCTGAAGCCGAAGAGGATGAGGAAAATTGGGAGGACAAAATTGATAAGTAAGTTTTTAAATTTAAACATAAATCCATATTATGATTAGAAAATTCAAGTTTTATGACATTTTAAAAAAAGTTTCCAAAGTATTGGTAATTTTACACACTGTTTTAAGTAATATAGTTTTAGGACATTTTTAAAAGAAAAAAAACATTTATTAATACAGTTTTCAGATACCTAGTCTTTTATAATAAAGTCTTTACTTAAATACATTTAAATATATTTTTAATCATTTTTTACAAATTTATTGTAAATGGGCAGAAATACTAAGGTCGTTTTGGATTTTTTTTTCATTTATTTTAGAAAAAAGTAATTAAAATCCATTCATTACAAAGTTATTCAAATTAAATAGTTTTAAGGCTTTATAGGTATAATAGATTTTGATGTATCATAGCTATTTTTATTAATAATAGATGAGTTTGGGTGAATATATTGAGATGTCCCCCAAGTAAAAATGATTATTTTTTATTTTTGGTTGTTTCACTGTTAGTCTAGAATGGGGTTTTTGGGAAGCCACCAGGTCTAGTAATAACATAACATAAATGGTTCTGCACTAATGCAAGAATTTTAAGAAATCATACATTTTGAATATTAGAGCTTCACGGAAGATAGCTTCACGGAGGTTAGGATTTCGTATTTTATCCCTTTGTATATATGGAATAAGTAAATGTATCTTTTGACACCTTAATATTTATAATAAAAATCTACTACTGAGATATTACACTTCACGGTGGAAAGGTTTTTAAATAGCAAATTAATGAACTTAAACTTTTGAATTATAAAACAGCAACACTCTCATCTGCGTATAAATTCTAACTGACCTTCAGGAATCACATGCATCTCTAATGTCATAAACAGAGGTATTTGCTTATTTAAAATGATTAAAGCGCCATCCGTTGCATAAAATTTAAAGCAAAAACAGTTTCACGGAGGATAGAATTAATTTTTGTAACACCTACATAAATAGTTACAAAAATTATTTTTTTTAATTTTTAATAATATTTTATATTTGATTCGATTGCTTTGGATGTGTTTAATTTACTGATATTTTTAGTATGCTTTTACTACCTCAGATATTTGAAAACATATAGGTTAACCTAGAAAGAGTAACAGTCACGGAGGATAAGTTTTAGACTTTTAAAACATTGTAATAAATATGAAAGATGAAAACACAATAAAAGTGTAGGTCAAACTCATTTAGTTTTATTAAATATCACGGGGTAGCAATATCGGGGGACATTTCGTGAGACTCACCCGTTTGAGTTTTAATGCTAAATATAATTAACGCATAACAAGTAAAAAAACTCTAAAACGCCTTTACCAATCTTTATAAAATTTTGGATAAAAATACTTTATTGAAAAATTAAATATCCTTAAAGCCCTTTTATTTAATAATAAAAAACGCTCGAAAAAAATATACTGTGAAAGACCGTATTTTTGTTAGTATCCCCTAAAAATGTTGTACAAACAGTAACGAAAATACAGTGCTTCAAATTCGTCAAAAATGACCACTTTTCAGCAAAATATTCGTTCGTTTGGTTTGTACAAAATTTTTAGGGTGTACTAACAAAAATACGGTCTTTAACAGCATATTTTTTATTTAGAAAAATCCCTAAAAGTTATTTTTTAAACGTTTTTTTATTATTAAATAAAATGGCTTTAAAAATATTTTCTTAAAAAACCCTCAAACACGTAAACTGAGATATAAGTTGAAGTATTTTTTTACAAAATTTCATATAGATTGGTAAAGGCGTTTTAGAGTTATTTTTTGTTTACTTATTATGCGTTAATTTTAAGGATTATCTGGATAATTTATTATTTTAACTTAGCGTCGCACTTGAAACACAATCAACAAGGTAAAAATGGCCAGATTGACGCAAAAAGTTTATAAATATGTTTAAATAACTTACCAATATTTAGGAAATAATATTTACATAAAATTGCTAAATAAATGTTGAAAATATTTACGTGATATTTATGAAATATTTACGCGTAAAATTTTTGAATGTTTGTACAACATTTTATGAACCTTTTATTTATAAATATTGTTCTCCAAACGTCCTGACAACATTTTTAAAACTTATTGTGTTATGTAACTATAGTTATTATTTTAGCAAAATTATAGTTTTAAACCATAAATTTTTTTGTACCGTTTTTACTGTAAAAATATCTTCTTAGTAAGCATGTAGTTATTTAAACTTAAAATGCTGCTTGGGCTGTGTACCACAATAACTTTAACAACTTTTCCCAGGTTGTTTTTATAAACGTTTCATTTTTTAGATCCTATTGGACAGTGAACCAAAATAGAGTTTACCAAGGCTTTGTAAACGTATTGAATATGTACCATTTGGCCAAATTGGCGCAAACTAATGCAAGGCACGAGCCTATCATTAGAAGGACAGTGGTGGATAAGGCTGCTCAGAGAGTTAGACGAGTAATGGCCTTAGTTAGTTGGGATACAACTACATGCCAATGGATTCATCAATTGTTGATTGATAATTTAAGTAAAGATTACTTAGCTGCCTATTTGGATATTTTACAGGTATAGTTTTTCTAAATTAATAAATACATTTTATTTAACTTTGCCTTCTATATATTTAGCCAATTTATTAGACTAACTCACAAACTTTGTAAAATGCATTTTTGAACTACACACATTCTTATGATTCAGTTAAAATTTTACTATTTTTTTTCGAAACATAATTTTTAGAGATTTTTTTTTTAATTTTTAAAAATCGAAAAAAATAGTAATTATGATTAATTAATTATGAGCGAGTTTTTGTCTCCCAAATATTTTTTGAAGAAAATTAAATGCTCTACAAAAAAGATTTGATTGGAATTTCCTGTCAGATGAACTGTTTTCTTACAATCATGCCTTAAAAATTGGTATAGTTTTACAATTTGATCTTTTAACTTTGGAATGTTGTAATTCATGCAAAAATCAGTACCCGAAAAAAACCGATAGATATTCTTATGGGAAATCAAATGATTTACAAAAAAGTCTTTTAACATTTTTGGCTAAATTCACTCAATCGAAAGTTATTCAAGGTTAGAGTTGAATTCAAAACAAAATTCTTGTTTTTTCCTCTGTAGATTTTTTTTATGGATGATTATTTGATTTTTGTCTTTATAAATGTGTATTATATAACTAATTAACAATTTCCAATAAAAAACCAACGTGATTGTTATTATTTAAACGATTAAATGGGTAACAGTGAAAATAATAGTTTCTAAAGAAAATAGCTTCTTAAAGCGAAAAAATTCAAATGTGTGAAAGCATATTTTCGATATACTTTTCGAAAAAAAAATTGTTGATTTTTTTGGCCCAGTAGATGATAAAAACAAAATTTAAATCATTTACAGACATTAAAATACGTGGTTCCATCATTTGCGGAAAAATTCATGCAAAACTGTACACCAAAACTGGCCACCCTAAGCAACGAGAGCCTGACCCCATTGTTAAAGAGACCTTGGGACCCGGTGGAGTCCAGTTTACAACTGGACAAGCCCAAAAAGCTCCCTGGAAATCCAGTTTTGGTGGTGGTGCCTTCCGGACCCACAATGCCAAAAAGGATGCAGAAGTGGGTGACCCAACTGTCCAATTTGGGTACTGTTATAACAATACCAACTAACATTGGTAAGTAGTGCTAATTATTTTTCTTAAAATCTTGTATTAGTTAAAAGTAGTAACATCATTTTGATGATTTTGAAAACTGAATATTTGAAAAAATTTGAAAATTTTAAATGTTTTGAAAATTCTAGAAATACCTAGGTACTAAAATTTGATTATTTTTTTTATATTTAATAGTTTTTGTGATATTTAATTTTTTTCAAAAATTTAGAGAGAAAAAGTTAATCGAAAGCCGTTAAAAATATTTGAAAATTTTATACAGGGTGTCTGGTATTTACATTGACTTTTTTGTCACTTTAAATACCAATAACTTTTTTATTTCAAACGCTACTACCATACAATTTTCACACATTCAACAAAAAATAATGTTTTCTCTTGAAATGTCACAGCTTTTCCTATACCTAAAATGAATATTTCCACCAACTTCAACAAAATTTATTTGTTCTTTTCAGAGGCTTTAAGCCGTAATTTTCGTTTTTCATACCTTCTAATGCAAATTTACTTATACCAGAACACACTGCAAAGTGCGAACATAACCCAATTGTGTATGTTTTATATTGCCGCAATCCTCTTCAAACCAAGTTTTTGTCAATAATAAGGTTTATTCAGTTATAAATGTATTTATGTGTATATTTAATAATACATTTTAAACATGTATTACTCTTATAATGTAATAAACAGGTATTTAAGTATATGTAAGATAACCTACAAATCTTTAGTCATTTAAAATATGCTATGTTGCCAAATTGGTTCAAACTTAAATCAGTGGATATGCGTAAATCAGTTGATATAAATAAATCAACGTTTCTGCATAAGGCCCTTAATATTATTAAACTTATTCAGAGAAACTTTTTTAGAGAAAAATTCCAACAAGGGTTAATTATCATATTTCGTAAAAAAATGTTGTTGCTTATATGCTCTTCGACTTATATTTCTCGTTTAGGTTCTACTGGTCACCGAATGACGATGGGCCATTGCGCCGACCAGCTGTTTGTGACCACGAGAGCCAAGATACAGGAAATCAAGGCCGATCACCCGGGCAGAGGTATCGTGCTGGTGGGATTTAACACCGGCGCGACTTTGGCGCTGCAAATCGCGCAGGTCGACACCGTTTTGTGCGTCGTTTGTTTGGGTTTTTCGCTGCTGACGGCCGAAGGGAGGCGCGGGGAACCGGACGACAACATTTTGGAGCTTCAAATTCCCGTTCTATTTGTCATAGGGCAGTGTTCCAACACGTCTCTGTAAGTTTTTAAACTAATATATCGCCCACTCTACACGGTGCTGTTCTGAGAGGTGATTTTTGGACTTTCTGTGAAACCTAATTTTTTTTATATTCTTCTTAATTTAGTCATAACTAAAATTTTAAGAGCAAAATAAAAAAAAATTGACGGTTTGAATTGTTTTAATTGGCTGTTTATTAAAAATATTATGCACTCTTTCAATTATCCAATTAAAACAAGCGATTTAATTTAAATATTTAATATTTGCATAACTAAAAAAAAGGTTTTTACAATTTTTTTTATATGTTTTACTGTTTTGTTTGCAATAAACGTTCAAACTTTTAATCTAACCTTTGACGTATACATTTATGTTCCCTTAATTAATATATCCTTAAAGGTTGCCATGAAACTTAGATCTATTAAAAATTTATTTGACGTTTGAATTGTCATTTTCAGTATACGTATTCTATAATTTTTGTTTAGTTTTTTAAAGTGTTTTTTATAAACAAAAATGAAAAATTGTAGTAAAAGTTACGAAGAAATTCATGAAATTTAACTAAGGACCGGTTTATTCATCTTTAGTAAAGTTTATCGGGCCGATAACTTTCATGTCTTGGCAATATCTAGTATCCAAAGAAATTATTCGTCAAATAAATCAAAAATAAATAAATCGGCCCTAAATAAAATGTGGCACCCTTAGAATTATTGTTTACTATACATTTAACCTTAAATTAAAACTTTAAACGTGTATTACAACAAAACAGTAAAAGATATAAAAAATGTATAGACCTTTTTTAAGAAAATTAACTAATCTTTAATCTGATTTAAAAAGTTATGATAATATTTAAATAAAATCGCAAGTTTTAATTGGAGAATTGAAAGTGTGCATAATATTTTTAATAAACAGACAATTAAAACAATTCAAACCGTCAATTTTTTTTTATTTTGCTCTTAAAATTTTAGTTATGACCTAATTAACAAGAATATAAAAAAAATTAGGTTTCACAGAAAGTCCAAAAATCACCTCTCAGAACAGCACTGTGTCTAATGTTAATGTAGTTAATAATGCAAGCGTCATTTTTTTTAATGGTAATGGGTGATTCTACAAAAGTTGGGCAACTTTTGACCTCATTTTGTTTATATGCAGTGTGACCCATTTGTTTGCGACTCACCCCTGTAAAATCTTTATTTATTGTGCGATTTTAACCGGATTTGTTTAAAACTGTAGATCTTGATAAACTGTATTTTTGGAGCAAAAGACGCCATATTAATACAAAATACAAGGCCTACTTAGAGATGTAAAAAAACGGTTTTTTTTTTTGTTTTTTTTTCAAAATGAAATTTTGAGTAAAATGTAGAATATATTACATTTTTCATTATTGAAAATTTTAACCCAGACCAAAAAATCTGATTTCTTATTATTTGGTAGTTTCCACACTAAAAACCAATAGCAATGTAAAACTTCTACACTAATACAAAAAATTAAAGGATAAAATTTTTTTTATGCGATTTTTTGGATAGCTGTATCTTTGTTAAAAATGGTCGTATTGGAGCCGTAAAAAAAGCAATTTGAAGCTTAAAGTTTATAGTTTTGAGATTTTTGTTCTGACCACCAATGAATAAATGTTCTACAAGAATTGCTATTGTTTTTTGAAAAAAAAATTCCATACTCTACATAAATTTGAAAAATCATAAAAAAGTGCTTTTGGTAGCTTTTTGAAAAATCAAGCGCTGAATTAAAAATATTATATGTAGTTACTTTTTTTAGGACCAAATCAAAACAAGCGCGGCCCTTATTGGTCAAATCGGTGGTTGTGGCGCGTGCATATCGCGAGACTGTATTTACATTTACCAATTGTCATTTAGTGGCTAATTTTAGTCCATGGAAACATAAAAAATTAGGCAAATGGGACTAATCTTGAAAAAAAAACCTAAAATGTGAAAAAAATCATTTGAAAAAAAAAATGAAAAAAATCCTGAAAAAAAAAGGACCGTTTTTTTTTCAAGTCGCATCTCTATAGGCCTACTATGTCAGTTTTTAAGAGTAAATTTTTAAGAATTTATATTAGCGATTTTTTTAAACAAAATCTAAGCACGGCACCGGATTCACTACCCCTCAAAAGTACCCTAAACTAAATTTAATTAACAAATTTTAAGTTATCATGAAAAAAACATTGAAATAAAATTAAACTTTTAGTAATAGTACCAGGTTAATATTAGTTTAATTTTATATCAATGTTTTTTTCATGGATAACTTGACAAAATAAATTTTTGTAGTTATTATTCTGCATTTTTTTTCTTAAAATTTGTTAATTAAATTTAGTTTAGGGTACTTTTGAGGGGTAGTGAATCCAGTGCCGTGCTTGGATTTTGTTTAAAAAAATCGCTAATATAAATTCTTAAAAATTTAATCTTAAAAACTGACATAGTAGGCCTTGTATTTTGTATTAATATGGCGTCTTTTGCTCCAAAAATACAGTTTATCAAGATCTACACTTTAAAACAAATCCGGTTAAAATCGCACAATAAATAAAGATTTTACAGGGGTGAGTCGCAAACAAATGGGTCACACTGTAGTTTTCGGAGAAAATATACTATATTATATATATATACTATACAGTTTCTGAAATATCTGTGTTTTCTAAATTTGAATGCAAGGGAAGTGAAGATTATACCAGGGTACTAATCAAATACATAATTTATTGAAAAATATAAGATTTATTGCAACTTTGAGCATATTATACATTAAATATCTAAAAATCAAATAATACCACACATCAGTGGCGGCTGGTGGATTTTGGGTATACCGATATCTCAATTATTAGATATGGGACCCTAACCAAATTTATATGAGTTTATAATGACATTAAATAAACAAGTTCTGCGTAAGCAGAATTTAAATTGAAGTTTGCGAAAAAAAGATAACCGAAACATCGAACATGGAACTGACGACACGGTACTGATGAATGGGATAAAAATTTGAGATTATAATTCGGAATTAAGTATTTTACTGATATTTTTTATTAGTGGATGCTACTTATCAACAAATCACATATAGCCTTATATAAATTACAATGAAATATATATACGTAAGAAAATAACTACTCACCACAGTACTGAAATTTTGACTGGAACTATACGTGCATTCACCACAACTTCGCCGCATGCATTGTTTTCAAGATGACTGTCGCGAAAAAGGGCGGGCTCTGTAGGTAATTTTTTACCAACACTTGAGTTAAAACGAGGACTTGACGTTTAAACTTCAATATTTCGCAGGAATTTTGAATTTTAACATTGGACACAGAACTGATGGGTAAAAGTGAGTACAAAGATTATCATTGTTTTAAAAATTGCTATTATTCGAATCTATGATAAAATTTGGAAAATACATTATTTAATGTTTTATAGTTTGTAGTGAAATTAAAAAAATTAAGATAAATTGAATATATTTTAAAATAAAATCACTCAAATATTTGATTCAGGAGTTGTGACACGCCAAGGTACTGATGTTTTGAATATTTATTATGTTTTTCTACAAACGTGCTTTTGAAAAAATACATTAAAATCGGGTGGACAAGTTAAAAAAACTTGGATCTTTTGTAATATACTAAAATATTTACAAAAAATATTAAAATACCTACTCTATTGACTGATGACATCAAGTTGTCCAAGTTTTGTAGAATCACCCCAATGTAGTTTGAATACATTTATCATTAAAAAAAATTTGTAATGAGAAATATTTTTATTACACATTAAAAAATTAATGAGTAATGTCAAACAATACATTACTCATTAAAAAATAAAAAATGTGGTAATGAGAGACCATACATTACATTAACGCATACTTTTTCACTGTGAAGTGTTTTTAAGTAAAATACAAAATCCACACAACAAGGTCTGTTCTATCTCATGCTAAAAATACTAAAAATCACTGCAACACTGCACAGAGTTTAACGGCGGCCATTTTTGTTGTTTACAATTCTTGTGCTTTGGGTTTGTGCTGTTAATAATTGTTTTAAACGTTGGATTTCTTACGGAGGCACTTGTAAGCCTCAAATAAGGCCTAAGTGCTAAGGACAACCATTTTACTCCTCTTTTATAATAAATATACCTTATTCTATCAGGGCTGTCAAATGACAATTTGAAGGTTAATTTGTAGGTTATAATTTAACCTTAAAATTGACATTTGACAGTTTTATGACGGATAGAATAAATTTTATTTTTTACAATAGAGGAGTGAAATGGTTGTTCTTAGCACTTTAAGGCCTCTTTTAAGGCTTACTATGAGAAACACAACGTTTAAAACGATTATTAATGTGTATAAACAGATCACAAACGCAAAGCACAAAAATTGTAAACAACAAAAATGGCCGCCGTTAAACTGTGCAGTGTTGCAGAGATAGAACATACCTTGTTGTGTGGATTGTGCTAAAATATTTATTCCTTCTCAGCCAAGAAGATGTAGAGGATTTAAGGGAGAGGATGAGAGTGGAAACAGGACTGATTGTAGTTGGCTCTGCTGATGATTACTTAAGGGTTAACAAAAAGAAAAAGAGATCTGAAGGAATAACTCAGAGCGTTGTCGACAGATGCGTTGTGGTAAGTGGAACAATTGAAACATTAAAAATAACAACAATTTTATCTCATCCGAAATTTCCAATAAAAACATATTAGTCCTGAAGCATAAAGCAATAAAATATTCTCCGCGGGATTTGTTATGAAGGGATAATGGGACTATATGGGATAGATTTTTTATACCTTTTTGAAAATATGTCTGGTGGTGTTTATGGCATTTTTAATCCAAAATGTCCACCATTTTCCACATTTATTTATAAAATGCCAAATAATTAATTTTATTGCGCCCTTTGAAATAAATTACATTTGACATTGTTTTATTGTCATATGACCGTGTATCAAAACAATTTGTATAATTTTATGGGCCGTCAAATTTGATGGCCCATCAATTTTTTTAGCCTCTAGCAACAGTGACTTTTTAAAATAAAACTGTTTTAGCAAATTTAAGTAGTTTCATTGGTTGCTTATAAATTAAGAGTGCCTTGACTTTATCAATTTATGTTTTATATATATATTATAATTTATTACACTGGTTTACAAGGAAAAAATAGAAACTTTATTTTACATTTTTTAGGGTGATTTTGGTGCGCTAAACACAAAAAACTTTTCTTATTTGGCCCATTCACCTAGATGACGGTATATTTTTGTTTTTTTATTTAAGATTTAAGAGGGAATGGCAAATCCGATATATGCCAAATCCGATATATGGTTTGAAAGGTGGTTAAATTTCGCATCCAACGGTAAAAACATCGTTTTAATCCAATCAAAAATAGATGAGTTACAGCTCATAAAAGTTCAAATTTCTTGCAAAATAGCTCCAAATCGATCCATGCAAAATATAAAAATATAACAATATGTCAGTTTTTAAAGCCAATATTTTCTTAACCATTTGAAATAAAAAAAATGTTTTAAATCATTTTTTTCCTTTTTTTACGGTTATTTTAAGAGATTCTATAATTTTTTTTAATAGGACCACTAATTACGAACGACATTTTATTTTATTTTTACATATTATGTGAAATGTCATTCAATACTTTATTTTCAAGGTTAAAACCGAAAGAATGTCATAAATTCAAGTGGATAAAATTTGAGTTAGACCACAATCCACACAACAATGTCTGTTCGATCTTGTAGTAAAAATACTAAAAATCACTGCACATCATACGATGGCGGCCATTTTTGTTGTTTACAATTCTTGTGCTTTGGGTTTGTACAGATTAATAATCGTTTTAAGGGCTGTCAAATGTCAATTTGAAGGTTAATTTAGGGTTATTTTATAACCCACAAATTAACCTTCAAATTGAAATTTGATAGAATAAGGTTTATTTTTTACAAAAGAGGAATAAAATGATTTTTCTTACCACTTTGAGGTCTCTTTTAAGGCTTGCAAGTCTCTCTGTAAGAAACACAACGTTTAAAACAATTATTAATCTGTACAAACCCAAAGCACAAGAATTGTAACAACAAAAATGGCCGCCATCGTATGATGTGCAGTGTTGCAGTGATTTTTAGTATTTTTACTACGAGATCGAACAGACCTTGTTGTGTGGATTGAGAGTTAGACCACAATCCACACAATAAGGTCTGTTCTATCTCATGCTAAAAATACTAAAAATCACTGCAACACTGCACAGAGTTTAACGGCGGCCATTTTTGTTGTTTACAATTCTTGTGCTTTGGGTTTAATAATTGTTTTAAACGTTGTGTTTCTTACAGAGGCACTTGCAAGCCTCAAATAAGGCCTTTAAGACAACCATTTTACTTCTCTTTATAATAAATATACCTTAATCTATCAGGCTGTCAAATGACAATTTGAAGGTTAATTTGTGGGTTATAATTTAACCTTAAAATTGACATTTGACAGTTTTATGACAGCCCTGATAGAATAAAGTTTATTTTTTACAATAGAGGAGTAAAATGGTTGTTCTCAGCACTTTAAGGACTCTTTTAAGGCTTACTATGAGAAACACAACGTTTAAAACGATTATTAATCTGTATAAACCCAAAGCACAAAAATTGTAAACAACAAAAATGGCCGCCGTTAAACTGTGCAGTGTTGCAGTGATTTTTTGTATTTTTAGTACGAGATAGAACAGACCTTGTTGTGTGGATTGTGATTCATACTAAATAATATGAGTACTATATTAAAATTTCCCGCGTTCTCCTGTGTAAACCTGTCTACTTAGCTCTTATCTGGAACGTACTACAGATAGAAGCACTTTTTCAGGACGAAGTGGGGGAATTCGTGAGCGGCATAATATTGTCGCCGTTCCCGCCGCAGCTGCGCCAAAGCCCCGCGCACGGGCTCTCCGACGGCCCGCTGGGTTCCAAGAAGGGAACGAAAAACGAACGCAAGCGTTACAACTCGAACGCGAGCTCTTTGGACAGCGAACCGCCGTCGCCCACCCCCAGGATTACACGACCAGGTCATAACACTAATTCACTCTCCGCTTGTAAGTTTTGTTGCTTATGCTCTTTGTTTTTTTTTGTCGCTGCTTGGGTAAACAATTAATTATAGGGTTAAAATTTTGATTATTCATTAGGGTGTGCCAAAAAAACTCGATATTTTTGTTTTCTTGCTCTCCACCCAAAATATCGTAGAATATGTCCGAACAAATATCCTGTTAAAAGCGGAGCTCATAATTTCAATTTTAAGAGGTCCTTCATCGATTCTGAAGTTTTGCCGTTTAAATAACACAGAAAACTGACTTTTTTATCTTATTTATTCTTGCAACCTAGGAAGAAAATTTTTTTTCATACAATACAATTTAATCTTACAAAGCATTAAATTTGGGCGAAAAAATCTTATTAAGCCGAATTTCTATTTTCATTATTTGATTTTTTACAGAGCTTTAAATTTAAAATTTTAGTTTTTTTGCCTTTTTCAGCTAAACTATTGAAGTTAGACGAAAAAGTCAAACGGCAATTTTTTAGCTTGTCTGATGGACCACAAAAAAGTTTTAGGCGAACTTTTTGTATCGTCAATATTATTAACTTTTTGTTAGTGAAATATTAATGTTAGCACAAAAAGTCAATAGAGAATTATAAAAAAAATGAATTTTCGGAAAAATTGCCCTAGTAAAATTTGATGTACTGTCAACCATTAAAATTTATTTAAGCTTATTTCGATGTTTTTTTAAGTAAATCAGATAAACAATTGACAATAGATACAAAATTTTATAAGAATTTCATGTCTTATTCCATTGTTTACAGTGAATTATCGCTTAAATACTAATAATAATATCTTACTAACTATTATCGTACAAAACATTCTGAATCTGTAATTATTATATGCTAACATTAATATTTCACTAACAAAAAGTTAATAATACGAAAATGATGACTTTATACGCCTGTAACTTTTAGAATATTGACGATACAAAAAATTCGCCAAAAACATTTTTGTGGTCCATCAGACAAGCTAAAAAATTGCCATTTGACTTTTTCGTCTAACTTCAATGGTTTAGCTGAAAAAGGCAAAAAACGTAACATTTTAAATTTAATGCTCTGTAAAAAATCAAATAATGAAAATAGAAATTCGGCTTAATAAGATTTTTTTGTCCAAATTTAATGCTTTTTAAGAATTAGTCATGGATTTCATAAATAAGGTAAAAAAGTCAGTTTTCTGTGTTATTTAGGCGGAAAAACTTCAGAATCGATGAAGGACCTCTTAAAATTGAAATTATGAGCTCCGCTTTTAACAGAATATTTGTTCGGACATATTCTACGATATTTTGGGTGGAAAGCAAGAAAAAAAATATCGATTTTTTTGGCACACCCTAGTATTCATACATCAGCTTCAGCAAGCAAGGTTGTCATATTGGCAACATTGGTGGAATTTTTTGGTTTTAAAATCATTCCAATAGTTTTCAAATCCAATCTTAAAAAGTTGAATTTAATCAAATACTTTTATTTGGTGCGTCAGCTTATTTTGCATTTTACAGAGGTTTGCCTTAAACTATGTAGCTTCTTGGTTTTAAAAAATATTCAGTTAAAACTAGGGTTTTAAAGTGTCGAAAAAAAAACGGAAAAATGTTTTCCCAGGCCTTGTTGGAATTTTTTTGGGGAAATATACACATTTGAAAAAAAGGGGCAATTAATGAAACATTGAATTAATTTAAAATGATTTAAGAAAATAAACGTCATTGAAAATATCCCGGTAGAATATTCTTACTGAATAATAATTATATGTATTATTAGACTAGGTCAAAAAAATCAACTATTTTTTTTTAGAAAAGTATATCGAAAATATGGTTTGGGGCGACAAAAAAAAAATATTGTGAAAGTTCATAATATTAATATTAAGAGGTCTATCATCGCAATTTTAATTTTTTTTCCCTCATCAAGTTCAAGGTTAAATTTGACAAGAATTTCGTTTTGACTTCAACTTTAACCTTGAATAACTTTTGATTGAGTGAATTTAGCCAAAAATATTAGGAGGCTTTTTTTGTAAAGCATTTGATTTCACATAAGAATATTTATCGGATTTTTATGGGTACTGATTTTTACATGAATTTTAAAATTCCAAAGTTAAAAGATCAAAATGTAAAACTATACCAATGTTTAGGGCATGATTTTAAGGAAACGGTTCATCTGACGAAAAATTTCATTTAACCTTTTTTGTAGAGCATTTAATTTTCTTAAAAAAATATTTTTTAGTAAATTTTGTTAAACTCAATGGTTTGGGAGTTCTGAGAGAAAAACTTGATGAGGGAAAAAAAATTAAAATTGCGATGATAGAACTCTTAATATTAATATTATGGACTCAAACTTTCACAATAATTTTTTTTTGTCGCCCCAAACCATATTTTCGATATACTTTTCAAAAAAAAAATAGTTGATTTTTTTGGCCCAGTCTAATGATTATACAGGGTGTTATGTAATTAATGTTATATATTAAAATGGGTTGTTCCTTAGGGTCCATAAAGAAGCACCTGAAACTTTTTTTTCTAAATTCCAAAGTCTAAAAATAATTTATAATAACCTTTATCCTACCAAAAAGTACGCCACTGATCGACTAGGAACTTTAGGTTAATCTGGTGGATTTATTATGTTATGGTTGGTAACAACAGTTTTTCCAAAATCTCTCAAAAAAGTTGACAAACATTGTTTAAATTTAGCTTAATTACAAAAATGACAAAATTAACAATGCAAATTGTCAATTTGGCGTTTTTATTAATTGTTGGTTATTTCATTTTTGTACTGAAGGTAAATTCAAACAAAATCTGCCCACTTTTATGACAGAATCTAGTGCATTTCTTTTAAATTTTAGGTTATGTTTTCAAATTGTAAATATCTTAACTAAGGGAAGTGCTTTTGGATTTATTTACACAAATTAAATGTTTAAAGTTTAACCTGTGAACTGGTCCCAATTTCATTTGAGTAAACAGAGAAAAAAACTGATGAAAAAATTAATTTTGTGGTTATGGATTTCAAATTTCAAAGGTACTAAATTTTCTAATCATTGCTTAAGCTAATAGCTGGATCAGTAAATAAATACAGAAGGGTATTAGAGCTTTAAGGGCATAAAACTTTTGTATTTATTGAGTTTTTATTTATTTTTTGCAAGAAAAATTTTTAGTAATAATTTTTTACATCTGGCAACGCATAGCTACTTTGTTGGTTGGTATCTATGTACTCACAAAATACAGGTGTGCAGAGATAAACAAGTGTGTAACCAGTGGCGTATCACAAAAAATATAAAAATCTTCTAATGCATATTTTTTCTTTATCTTTGGAAAAATGTTTTTTTAAATATTTCTCCTTTATTCCTTATGTCAAAAGGTATTCAGTATTTTAATATATAACATTAATTACATAACACCCTGTATTCAGCGTCGAAAATTCACTTTTTTCTCAAGTGGCATCAAAATGCTTATTAAAGTGTTTTAAAAATACGTCAATTAACATATTTACTTTTGTACAGTTGGCCGACCGCCCGGTTCCAAGGCCAAATCGAAGCTGGAAGCCAAATGGGCCGCGCAGATAGCACAAGGTACCCCCCAAACCCCCTCGCCGGGCAGCAGCCCCTCCCACACCGTTTTCACTCCCGACACCTCCTCCAACGACAGCTCCTTCACCGACAAACCACCTACGCAACCCGCCCCAATCGCCCCCAACCCCCCTCCCCTCACTACCACTCCCACCGTCCCCTCAAACGTCAAAAAAATCAAAACGCTTCGACCGTTCGAAAAAGCTAAACACACCGTCGCAGGTGGCGCCGCCACCAAGCAGCAGACGCAAGCAGGTTAGTGTTTTTGACGTTTCAGTGCATGCTTTTCGAGATGTGTTCGAAAAAACAAAAAGTTTTACGGAATAATATAGTTCGATAGAACTATCATTCATAAAGATCTTTGCTGTGCACAATCTTTTTTGTTCCACAGCCGTGGAACAAAAAATATTTTTGCGCAGAAAAAAATGTAATTGGTTCAGAGCTGGAAAAGTTACTTCTGTTAAGTATCTAAAGTAGAAACCACGAATATATGAACGTGACTCATCCGACACATTCGTTCGAAGCAATCTATCGAAGGTCACGGTCCAGTGCAGTCCTGTTTGTAAAAAATCTTGAGTGTAATGTTGGTTGCTATACTTATGATATATTTGCTTTTAAAGTTAAATTTTAATAATTAACATCTACGATAATTAAATAAAATGTAATTTTCTTAGAAACTAATTAATAAATAAACTTTTCTTTTAACTTTAATGAAATATTCTATCATCTGATGACAGAACGTACACTCGTGGCGACATCTCTGTTTTTAATGTCTAACAAATTTTTAGACCGATCCAACCTCACTTTCTTCCAAATAAATTCTTTGTCTATGGTATTTTTTGGAAACGTAGAAAAAGTATAGTCTGAAACACGTTTGGAATTGCATATTCCCCTCTCGTGAAACCGTCAAACTTGTTACAGAATATACTATTCTTTTAACTGTAAACGCAAATATTTCAGAATTGGTGACAAAAAACAAAAATGTTTACGCAGGTCAGGTATAAAGTGAAAGGTGGATATAAAAACAACTTGCGTTAGTTTCACGAAATTTATTAAATATTGACAATTGTTTCGCTACACAGTAGCTTCTTCAGAATGTATTAAACTAATACTAGTACAAAATTTATATAATAAAAATATTTTTGTATTCTAGCCTAGAATTTCTAGGTAAGGATTTTTTTCTACTCCTAATACGGAATTTGACCCTTCTAATATCACTTTTGTCTATGGAATGACATATATTCCGTAAAGTGTTACAGAATGAAATATTCTATCATCGGATTACAGAATAAACACTCGTGGCGACATCTCTGTTTTTAATATCTAACAAATTTTAGACCGATCCAACCTCACTTTCTTCCAATTAAATTATTTTTCTGTGGTATTTTTTGGAAACGTAGAAAAAGTATAGTCTGAAACACGTTTGGAATTGCACATTCCGCTCTCGTGAAACCGTCAAACTCGCCTTCGGCTCGTGTGACAAACTCTTTACTCGAGCGGAATATGCTGTATTCCAAACTTGTTACAGAATATACTAATAAATAGTTCGATAGAACTATCATTCATAAAGATTTTTCCATCTTTGCTGAGCACAATCTTTCTACGCCGAAAAAAATGTATTTGGTTCAGAGCTGGAAAAGTTACTTCTGAAAATTATCTAGTTATTTTTCTAAGATACAAAATAACTTAGTTACCTTAAGTAACTAGATACTTTGAGTTAAAAGTATCTTTAGTTACAATATACTTTAGAAAGTATCTAAGATACTACATGAAAGTATCCAAGATACTTTTGAGTAACTAAGTCCTAGTTACTCAAAAGTCTCTTGGATAAGTATCTAAGATACTTAAAAGTATCTTAGTAAGATACTTTTAAGTATCTTAGATACTTATGAGTAACTGAGTTACTTTTAAGTATGAATAAAAACTTATGAAATTATGAAAATAGAACAAGTTTTAGGTTAGGCAATTACTTTGAATCATTCTGGAATTCCCCCAATTTTCTTAAAAAATTACACTAGTTTACAAAATCGTTAAAAAATTCTACCCGCCATATCCCATTATAATTTTTCACATTCATTTTTTTTTATTATGGAAGCGTTTTTAAAATATGAATTTTCAATTGTTTTTTTTTCAATATTCGGAGGTGTTTTTGACGTTTTTGAGTATAGCTTGAAATCTAATTGATCGATTTGGTCACACAAGCCCTTAAATTGAAGGTAATGGAGCCTTCTAAAACTTTATTTTACATACTTTTGATATCGGATAGGTATTTTGACGCTAGCGATTTTAATAACTTAAAAAATTCGTTTTTATGGCAAAAATTGAGGTCGAAAATTTACATATCTTCCTGGGAAGGGTTTAAATCAAACATATAACTCCAATTTGAATATTTTTTTCCTAAAGCTGACAATTTTACAAAAAAAAACAAGCTAATGTTGATAAAAATACATGGAAAATGGCGAAAACCAAAGTAAAGTGCATGATTGGAATTTTTTGAGTTTTTTACGTTCATTTTTCACCGAAAACATTATTCAAAATTTTAAATTTGACATGACGCCGCAAACGTGAATTCTCGTGTTGGCATAGTGACATTTTACTGCTATTTTTTGATATTTCAACAAAGTATTTTATCATGGTTTTATTTAGTTAATAAAAAGTGTAAAATGAGTAAAAGAAGTAGAGAGTTCGAGTGCGTAAATAACCCGCACAATCTGGGCGACGTAAGTGATGAGCACGGAGAACGTTTTCACCAGCAAATGAAGGCTATGGAGCGGCGGTATCACGGCTTCTGGGATGCAGCCATGATGGGTGATTACATTTGGTCCCTCATACGAGAAACGGAATACGAAAGCAACAAAAACAAAGGAGCCTTAATTTTTTAAACCTATGCTTATTACAACAAAATAAAACTTTCAATTTCTTCAATGTTCAATATTTATTGTTTAATATTCAATATATAATTTAATTTCAATATTTAATGTTTAAAATAAAAATAAATGTTCAATATTAAATTTTATATAATTCAATAAAATAAAGAAAAAACGTAAAAATTCTCGAAAAACTGAATTTTGCTCTTCCACTGAAAAATTCATAACTTCGCCATATATCCATGGATTTTTATCAACAGCAGCTTATTTTTTTCCTTTAAGTATAATCTATACGTAAAATAAATCAAACTGGACTTATCTTTTCGATTTCTATCTTTCCTAGAAAGAAATGTAAATTTTCGACCACGATTTTAGTAAAAAAAAAAGGACTCTTTCAACTTCATAAAATCGCCAGTATAGAACTACTATACAAGAGAAAGTTGTAGAGGGCTTAATTACCTTTGATTTAAGTGCTTGTTTGGTCAAATCGATCAATTAGAACTCGAAGTATACTCTAAAACGTCAAAACACCTCAGAAAATTAAAAAAAAAAAACAATTGAAAATTCATATCTCAAAGACGCTTCCATGAAAAAAAATTTAAAATTGATTTTCGCGTTTAGTGAGCCAATCTACATAAGAAAATCATAATGAAACATGGTGGGCAAAATGGCTGTAAACTAGTGTTAGGTATCTTAGTTACTTTAAAGTATCTTAGTTACTTGAATGTATGTTAGTTACTTCACCAAGTAACTTAGATACTTTTTTAGATACAAGTTAAAAGATACTTTTCCCAAAGTAACTAAGTTAAAGATACTTTCTGTCCACTATAAAAAGTATCTAAGATAAAGTATCTTTTCTAGTTACTTTTAGGTATTTTTTTTAAGATACTCCCAGCTCTGAATTGATTTAGAATTTGCAGTGTGTTCTTGATTGGTAACGATTTAGATTTGCACGGATATTGACGCAACGCGTAAAAAACAATATAAAAAATAGCCCCCCACTTAAACAACCCCATTTAACACACACACAACTAATTTAGTGTTTTTTTTTGTGTTTGTACGTAATTGTTAATATTGTAGCCAAGCTACAAGCTTATGGTTTCAATCGATCTATGATGGCAGGTGGACCAATGTCAACTTTACTTCAAGGAGGAATTAAAACTCTGCCACCGTCGCAATCTAAAGCTTCAGGAATCAAAGGTAAAATAAAATTTGTAAAAATACGGCAAAATTTCGGTTTAAAAAAGTCTTTGTTCAAAAGATATCATTCAAAAATGTTTAATAAATTCTTATCAAAAATCTAGTTGTTTAAAAAAGATAATTTAATTTTTATTTTAAATGTTTTTTCGTATACATATGGGACTTGGTACAAAATTTTAACAAATAGGAAAAAACTTTAGTTTTGACAGCTTCTCAGTTTTTTATGCAATTTTTAAATTCCATTTTAAAAGACTTAATTACGCAACATCAAATAAAAAACTTTGCCATGCTTAGTACCATGCTCCACACCTCAAGTCCCACCACGGCTTTTCAGGTTATGTATCTGTCAAAGTATAGTCAACGAAAGAAATAATATTATGTTTAGGCGTTAAAAATGTATAAATCTTTATAACATTAGAATTACAATGGATGGTTTAAGAATTTAAGAATAAAAATACTGCATTTAATGGAATTCTAAAGTGTATGGTGCCAAATAAGTAATATTTTTGTGCATTTGGTCCAAATATCTGGTTTTCTCCATAAAATAATTTTAACTAAACAGCATTTATTTAAAAAAATCTAGCTTCTCTTTTATGGAATAAGAGTATCTGTATTAAAGGTAGGTTAATATATTATAACAAAAATATCATCTAATTTTGTAATTTTAAGGTTAGAAAAATTTATTTTGACTAAAATAAATAAGTATTTTGGATTATTTAAAAGACTGTATAATATGGTATTTAAAAGTGTGGTACTTTTTCTTATCCAGCTTAAAGTGTACCTACATAAAGTTTTGTCAATACAAATAGTTAAAAAGCTTCGACTCAATTTGATCTACATCGAAAAATCATTATAACTTTAATATTTTAATAAATCACATGTCATGGGAGTAATTAATATTTTCACATTTCAAGTTTTTCTAAAAATTGTTTGTTTTCTTATAATCTAACTTAAAGTAGGTATGCTGAGAGGTATGCACAAGTTTTGTCGTATAAAAGCTTCAATTTAATTTATACTATATTCAACAATTATTTAGTATACCTATATTTATTTATGACCATATTAACACACTCTTACAAATAATCCACTTATTTATTTTGGTCAAAATAGATTTTTCTAACCTTAAAATACAAAATTAGATGATATTTTTTGTTCTAATACATTAACCTACCTTTGATACAGATATTCTTATTTCATAATAGAGAAGTTAGATTTTTTTTAATAAATGCTGTTTAGTTAAAACTATTTTATGGAGAAATGTAGACCCAATGCACAAAAATAGAACTTATATTGCACCTTACACTTTGAAATTTCATTAAATGCAGTATTTATATTCCTAAATTCTTAAACCAACCATTGTTATTGTGATACTATAAAGATTTATTAACTTTTAACGTTTAAAAATAAGCGGTATCACTATAATTATAGTATTTTATATTTAAATATTATTTCTTTCATTGACTATACTTTGACAGATACATAACCTGAAAAGCCTTAAATGACAAATTTTCAAAAGACTGCGTTCCGTACGTGGTCACGTGGTGGGACTTTGAGGTGTGGAGCATAGTACATAATATTAAAAAAACTCCGTTTTAGTTCTTGAAAACGTCACACTAAACAGCAGCGCCACCGCAAAATTAATATCGAACACTGGACGTACTATAGATCTTTCGAAAATAACTGTAATTAATCCATCGAATCAGGGAAAATGCGGAAATAATATGGGAAACGTTATTCTTTTGCCCGATGGAAAAATAAAGGCTGTACATGGATCCACTATTAAAGGTACAGGAAACACACCCATACTACTACCAGGGATCAAAGGTATACTATACAGCACATTCATATTTAGCACTAACAAAAATTTTCAAAATAGTCATGTAGCCGTGTATATTTAGAAATATTAACGAATATACACTGGTAGGGTAAACCACATAGTTATTGGACACTCAAGGAATATTATTTATTTAAAATTTATATATGCCGTTGTTTTAAGGATTTTAGTTTTTTTCTTATAAATATATAAAAAGGATAGTTTGTTTCTTTAAACTTTATTACGTTTACTTAAAAATAAGAATATTTGAATTTTTAATAATGGTTTTATAAAAACATGCAAAAGAGTATAGTAATTGGACATTTTATACAGGGTGTCTCACCAGCGATGGCACCTTAGACGTTTACGGAGAACGGCTGAGGATATCAATTTGAAATTTTTATAGCAATTATTGTACAATTTAATCTCCCTTTTAAAATTATTTTGAATAAAATTCCTCTTCCGGTTTAACCGGAAGCGATATCAACTTTGTTATTTCCAATGGAACACCCTGTAAATTTTTTTATTTTTAAATTCCTCATGAAATTCTTAATGAAATTGCTGTACCATTCCCTATACCTAAACTTAATAGTTTTCAAGTTAATAATTTTTTTCGTAAAATTTTGACAGTTGCACCTTCATTAAAAATTGCTTATAACTTTTTTGATATTCGGTTTGCTGGTATGCTGTAAGGATTTTTGGAATCTTAAAACATTGTTTTAAAGATTCTATGTCTGAAATTTTTATATTTATGATCAAAAACCAGAGAAAAATCGTGTTAAATTTGGTTAACTTCAAACATTAATAACTTGTTTATTTTCAATGGAACGGTATGCATGTTTTTACATAATCAAATAGGAAAATGAATTACATTTCGATTGGTATAACCATTCCCTATACCTAAATAGTAAGGTTTCGGAAATACAAGCAAATTTCTGTAAAAATCCAATATTTTGGCATATTTATCTTATATACCGATGAAATGTCACAACAAATTAGTTAGGTATGTCATTGATTGACAGTTGATACATTTCTTAACCAAGTGGTCATGGAGCCTACACAAGGAGTCCGAACTGCATGTAAACAAGAATCTTCCTAAGGAAAGTAGGCGCTGGTGTACCGTTTAATCTGAAACAATTGACTAATTTGTACCGAAACGCTACCAAAAGAGCAGACGTCAGGACGCATCAACAATCAGCGCCGCTTAGTAGACTTAATTTGTGCAATTTAGAGGGCAGGTTTTGTCAATTTTCCCTATTAAGTTCGGGCTCCTTGTGTAGGCTCCATGCAAGTGGTGTTCAAAATTTCCAAAAGCGTTCAAAAATTAAGTAAAATGGATAGAAACAACTATTCCAATGAGGTTTTGATGCAAATAGGAGGGCCACAACGGAATCTCCCAGGCACCGCATTTTAAAATGTTTGCAAGTCAATGGTCGCCATTTTGAACGTTTATTAAAATAGTATTTTGGTTGTTATTTTTTCCATCACGTTTTTTATAATTTATTATAATTAAATTCTTAAAACTTTGTTTAATTGTTGTTTTCCATTATTTTTAAAATATCTTCTTTAAGAAATGTATCAACTGTCAATCAATGACATAACTAATTTATTCTGACATTTCATCGGTATCTGAGATAAATATGTCAAAATATTGGATTTTTACAGAAATTTGCTTGTATTTCCGAAACCTTACTATTTAGGTATAGGGAATGGTTATACCAATCGAAATGTAATTCATTTTCCTATTTGATTATGTAAAAACATGCATAGCGTTCCATTGAAAATAAACAAGTTATTAATGTTTGAAGTTAACCAAATTTACCACGATTTTTCTCTGGTTTTTGATCATAAATATGAAAATTTTAGACATAGAATCTTTAAAACAATGTTTTAAGATTCCAAAAATCCTTACAGCATACCAGCAAACCGAATATCAAAAAAGTTATAAGCAATTTTTAATGAAGGTGCAACTGTCAAAATTTTACGAAAAAAATTATTAACTCGAAAAATATTAAGTTTAGGTATAGGGAATGGTACAGCAATTTCATTAAGAATTTCATGAGGAATTTAAAAATAAAAAAATTTACAGGGTGTTCCATTGGAAATAACAAAGTTGATGTCGCTTCCGGTTAAACCGGAAGAGGAATTTTATTCAAAATAATTTTAAAAGGCAGATTAAATTGTACAATAATTGCTACAAAAATTTCAAATTGATATCATCAGCCGTTCTCCGTAAACGTCTAAGGTGCCATCGCTGGTGAGACACCCTGTATAGTAATTGGACCATAGTTATTGGACATACAATTTTTATATAAACATTAGGGTGTGCCAAAAAAAACTCGATATTTTTGTTTTCTTGCTCTCCACCCAAAATATTGTAGAATATGTCCGAACAAATATCCTGTTAAAAGCGGAGCTCATAATTTCAATTTTAAGAGGTCCTTCATCGATTCTGAAGTTTTGCCGCTTAAATAGCACAGAAAACTGACTTTTTTACCTTATTTATTCTTGCAACCTAGGAAGAATTTTTTTTTTCATAAAATTTATGACTAAATCTTACAAAGCATTAAATTTGGATGAAAAAATTTTATCAAGCCGAATTTCTATTTTCATTATTTGATTTTTTACAGAGCTTTAAATTTAAAATTTTAGGTTTTTTGCCTTTTTCAGCTAAACTATTGAAGTTAGACGAAAAAGTCAAATGGCAATTTTTTAGCTTGTCTGATGGACCACAAAAAAGTTTTAGGCGAACTTTTTGTATCGTCAATATTCTAAAAGTTACAGGCATATAAAGCATCATTTTTGTATTATTAACTTTTTGATAGTGAAATATTAATGTTAGCACAAAAAGTCAACAGAGAATTATAAAAAAATGAATTTTCGGAAAAATTGTCTTAGTAAAATTTGATGTACTGTCAACCATTAAAATTTACATACTTATTTAAGCTTATTTCGATGTTTTTTAAGTAAATCAGATAAACAATTGACAATAGATACAAAATTTTATAAGAATTTCATGTCTTATTCCATTGTTTACAGTGAATTATCGCTTAAAATACTAATAATAATATCTTACTATTATCGTACAAAAAATTCTGAATCTGTAATTATTATATGCTAACATTAATATTTCACTAACAAAAAGTTAATAATACGAAAATGATGACTTTATACGCCTGTAACTTTTAGAATATATAAAGGTCTAAACAATAGAATATTGACGATACAAAAAATTCGCCTAAAACTTTTTTGTGGTCCATCAGACAAGCTAAAAAATTGCCATTTGACTTTTTCGTCTAACTTCAATGGTTTAGCTGAAAAAGGCAAAAAACGCAACATTTTAAATTTATAGCTCTGTAAAAAATCAAATAATGAAAATAGAAATTCAGCTTAATAAGATTTTTTTGTCCAAATTTAATGCTTTGTAAGAATTAGTCATGGATTTCATGAACAAAAAAATTCTTCCTAGGTTGCAAGAATAAATAAGGTAAAAAAGTCAGTTTTCTGTGTTATTTAAGCGGAAAAACTTCAGATACGAGAAGGGCCTTTTAAAATTGAAATTATGAGCTCTGCTTTTAACAGAATATTTGTTCGGACATATTCTACGATATTTTGGGTGGAGAGCAAGAAAAAAATATCAACTTTACATCAAATAATATAAATTGATAAATATTTTTTTTAAGATAAATTGCTGTTTCAGGAAATTTTTTTATTTCGTTTTTGTAAATATCATATAATTCATATATTTCTTTCTCGGATTCCTCATCCCTTTTCTGGATTCTGAAGGTAACTACTAATTCCTTGATCTGACTTCTGAAATAGTTTGTTGCAAATATCATTCAGTGAGGTATCTCTAGTTTGTGAAGCATTTATAATGTTTAGGCCGAAACAGGATGATTTATATATATATCTAATATTTTTTCGGGTGGTATGTTAAAAGTATTTTCCGAATTTATTAATTTTGTTGCCATTGGTTTTTTATGTTCTCTATCATGCACTGTATTTAAATCACTGTTATTCTGCAAGATGTCCTGTGACGAAGAAATCACTATATTACTTACTCCCTAAAAGTGAATTAGTCAAAAATGTCATAGCGAAAAAGCAGCCACTAATAATTATCGTCAACAGCAATTTGTATCCAGGACATTTAGCAGTTAATTCCTATGAATTCGCTGAATCGAAAAATGTCGTCAAAAGTTATAAGTTTTTGAAATATAATCAATTTTACATATAATATGGAATTGACTATATCTCCTAAATTGCTTAACTTTTATAGTTTTTGACAATTTAACATAAGAATTGGCTGGTAAATGTCAGGGATACAAATAGAGTATGATATTGGACGTATGTCCAATAATAGAAATTTACATTTTTTACCAACCAGTAATTGGATACTGGCCATTTTACTGTTTGTTTTCAGAATTAAAATTAAAACGCATTAATGTAATAATGTTTAAACCATGAGGAACACATATATACCACACAATGATCTGTACATTTTTTAGAAATATTTTGTATTGTAATTTAAACACAGCCCTGCTCTTAACAAAAATCTTACCACCAAAGTAACGTGTTTGTCCTATATTGGACCCAAAATAAAGTAGTTCTATATTATTACCGACTGAGATAGTTATAATTGTATACAGCGTCATCTTGTCCAATAACTATAAATTGTCCGATAACTGTCTACTTTACCCTACTCTAGTTTCTAGAACTATGGGCTATAAAATTTTCTGTTATTCATAACAACGCGTTGTAATGGAATTTTATTTTGCTATTTCCTAGGTGGGAAATACATAACCTCTAAACGTCAACTTATAGGAAACAAACCGCCAAGGCCCCTAAAAAAGATCTCCTTTATGCACCAAAACTCAATGCAGACCCTACCGCCCCCTACAAATTTGACAACGCAGGATATAATGGACCTGCCGATCATTTTCGCCGACGATAATCAGATCCTCGACACTCCCATAGCGGAAGATCTGACAACGTCGGTGCAAATGCAGCAACCGAAAGTTGCTCCTCCAACAAACACCAACAAGTTTGTGCTTGTTAACAAGCAAATGTCGAGTAGCAGCAACTTCATAATATCGCCAAGCGTGAAGAAAAGTCCGATAAACTTGCAGAAGCAACAGCCCAAATACACGAAAATAATTCTTTCCAAGAGAAATTCCACGGAGGAAAAGAAAGGTTCCAACTTAATTACAAAAATATCCGGTCTGCCTTCCGATATCACGGTCAAAAAACTGGAGAGTAGTTCGAGTTCCACCTTCACTTTGGCTTCACCGGATGAAGCATTCGATCTGGAAAACGAACTGGTTGCTACTGCAGTTCCAAAACCGAATCTTTCCACGTCAGATGTCAAAAACATCACCATTTTCAAGCAAGCGTCCGGAGGTATTAATTCCCCGTTGCATCCGCTTTACTGCGGAGATCTGAAAAGACCCAAAGAAAGGATGGAAGTGGATTCAGACGATCCCGATTACATTCCACCAAAGAGTATGAAGTACGAATGAAGTTAGTTTTAAAAGTTTAATGAGTTTATTTTGTACATTTTTTCAGCACACAAGTTTTAAATAAAACGTTGTGTATTATGGTTTTTTTGATTTTATTTAGTGAATGAAATACAAATATTAGAGCACCTTTTTATTTAAAAAGTTATTATTAATAACATTTCAAATTCTAACATAAATCTTCGCACCCACTGTCTCCAGTTGCGTATGGTTTTCCACCTTTTTCAGCCCTAAAAACGTTTTATTTTTATTTTACATTTTTTTGGTGCAACAATTTTTTACCCTTGTCCATAGTTGCAAGCGTATATTTTATGATATTTTCCGGATTGTTGGTAGAATACATAACTACAGCCTATATCTTTTAGAGGAGCCCATACAATCTAAAAATAACCCAATAGAATCAAATCTTTATAAAAAATATACACTCACAGGCAAAATAATCGATCCACACAAATTTTCGATGAATTTCAATCGCAAATAACTTTTTTATTTAATGTCGGATTTAAACGAATATTAAAGAATATTGTAGATAAATTAATGGACAATCTCACATTTTAAAAAATTACTAAAAAATAGACGTACGTTTATAATATACAGGTTTAAACAAAAATATGTTTTTACCATAAGTTTAAGACACTCTGTAGAGTGGCAAAACCGTATATTGTTCTAAATTAAGTTTAATTTATCAAGTCACATCTATTCTTAACAGTTTTGTTTTTGGTTCACCTCGATATATTTATTTTTGTGGAAAATATGAATTTGTTTAAAAAACATTGCAATTTTAAATATTTTTCTGTATAAAGAACTAAGGTTGCAGTGGTCCATCCATAGGCTATGGAGAATGACAGTGACAGTTTTGTTGAATCATCCCATACTTGGACATGTCATACACGGCTTTAAAAAGCTATCAAATTGTTTTTTGCAAATTAATGTTTAAATGTTGAGGTGTCTTCTTACTTTAAAAAATGGATATGTCCCCGACTGATGTTGCCAGAGCCATTAATTTAATCCAGGATGGACGGTCTCAGTATTACGTGGCAAGTGTTTTAAACGTCACAAGAAGTAAAGTACAAAGGGCAACATCAGTCGAAGACATTTTTAAAAGTAAGAAGACACCTCAAAATTAACACATTAATTTACAAAAAACAATTTGATAGCTTTTGAAAGCTGTATATGACATGTCCAAGTATGGGATGATTCAACAAAACTGTCACTGTCATCCTCCGTAGGCTATGGATGGACCATAGCAACCTTAGTTCTTCATACAGGAAAAATATTGGAAATTGCAATGTTTTTTAAAAAAGCCATATTTTCCAAAAAAATAAATATATCAAGGTGAACCAAAAACAAAACTGCTAAAAATAGATGTGACTTGATAATTAAAACTTAATTTAGAACAATATACGGTTTTGCCACTCTACAGAGTGTCTTAAACTTATGGTAAAAAACATCTTTTTGTTTAAACCTGTATATTATAAACGTACGTGTATTTTTTAGTAATTTTTAAAATGTGAGCGATTCTCCATTAATGTATCTACAATATTCTTTAATATTTGTTTAAATCCGACATCAAATAAAAAAGTTATTTGCGATTGAAATTCATCGAAAATTTGTGTGGATCGATTATTTTGCCTGTGAGTGTATTTCAGATAATATTAAATATAATTACCTGAACATAATCCATAGTTTTTTTGTTATATTTTCCGTATGTATAATTGCTCATTTCACTTATCCAAGAGTTGATTGCCTCACTCCAATCGGCTTTATTGTCACTTTCTGAACTAGCTTCAGAAGTATAGTATAGTTGCCCAGGTTTAGAAAATGCATCTAAAAAATACAAAAAGAACACGTTTTGGTGAAAACCATATTTAATTGGCATAAACTATCAAAATAATATTTTAAAAGTAATCCTTACTGCAACTTATTTTCCTTTGTTCGGGTTCACATTGCTGTGCAGCTGAATCAGCTTCAGATCCCAAACAAGCATTCCAAGACTAAAAATATATGAAAATAAAATAAGGTGATTTATTGGTACTGGCCTTCAATATATTACTTACGACTCTTTTCAAGTTGATACCTCTGGGTTGGTCTTTTACTTGACCATTGGCAATTTTTTTCCTAAAGTCATTGTGTAGTTTTAGAATTTGATTTTTCTCATCCTCGGTAACACCACCACCTATGGCAATGTAAGGTATACTAATTTTAATTTTTTTTTATTATAAGACGCCCCTCTAAAATCTGTTTTTTTTTAGTGAGCAAAAACATAAATAATGTTTCTGACAAATAAACAAAAACAAAAAATCATCGGCAAATGTTGTATGCTAAATATTTGACAACTGTTAGACGGATTTAACCTCACTTTTTCCCAATTTATAATAAAGCTGTTGGATAAAGTCACAGTCTATCAATATGGAACTAATTTTAATCCATGGTATTCAATGTACAATTCTGTAAGGTTGTCAAAACCAAACTGCAGTATACTGCAACAACATGCATGTTGTTATTAATTGAGGAGCATCCGTGCAAAACCGGCTAAATCCATTTTATTCAGTTTTTGTTTTTTTTTTATTTCGCATCTTTGGGTTTATTTCTATCGACAACCAAGATAATTCTGTTTAAATCCGACTATATCCATGTTAAAATAACATTTAAAAGGTTGCTTTATGAGCAAAACCGGCCACATCTTTTATAGCAAACCCGGCTATATCCAATAAATAGTAATGATGATGAGCATATGACGATACTACTACTAAAATTTGTTCTGTTTTTTCATGTTTGCACTAAATTTATTTTGTTAATATTTTCGAATAATAAAGGTTTTTTTCACATTTTATTCGGTTTTTGAGCAAAACCGGCTATATACAATGCATTTTTTTTAAATTTTATCTTATATAAGATAAAATATATATATATACATATGTATGTCTTATAAATCAAGTACCACAAAGCCCACAAAACTCAAGTTTGCTTTTTTTTACCTGTATACAGGTAAAAAAAGCAAACTTGAGTTTTGTGGCCTTTATAAAGGCCAGGAAACCGAGAGTTTTTGCCATTTTCCCAACATTTTATTAAAGTGAATATAGCCGGTTTTGCACGGATGCTCCTCAATTATACATTAGGTTAATTTAATATTTGTTTAAAATAATATAATTTATAATACCTTTTACATCACAAGCGGCTCTAGATGATGGTACCAAATAAAGGATCGCAACAAAAGTAAATATTGACACAAGATGCATTTTGAAAGTTTGACTCTTTCAAAAAGTTTCAAGCTTTTATAGTGCCATGCAAATAAGTATTGTTATCTAAACATTTCCAATTTTAATTAGCTTGTGCAAAATTAGAAATAGGTACAATTAAAATATATTAAAATATATATATATATATATATATATATATATATATATTATTTTCGAATAATTTACGTAATTTACATAATATATACTATCATAATTCCTTTTTTGGTTTAAATTATTGAAATTGTATTTTTATCAGGGGTCTGAAAAATAGACTTCCTCAAGGATACCAAAGAATACGCCTATACATTTTTACTTATCTTCTTTATAATTATTAGGTATATTAAATATTATTGTTTTAAATTAAAAAGCTTCTTTAATAATATAAATAATTGTATTAATTACCTATGTTATAAACTAAAAAATCGGAGTAAATTATTTTTTATACTATTGCATGTTATTGACATTATTTGGGTTTTTTCCGTAAATAATAATTTAATGGTAACCAATATTACCGCCCGGCCTAACAACGCAATTAATGAACTCATTAACCACGTTGTTAGGCATCAGTGATTGGCTGATTTTAATATCACTGTTATTTGAACCAATCGGGTTTTAAATTTGGAAAAAGTAAGGTTAACAGATGTCAGATTTGTTTATATATACGAGGGGCGACTATCTCTAAAAAGTGAGGTTATAATAAATTTTGTTATCAATTAAAATTACTTAATTGGAGTTGAAAAAGCATAGTTTTACACTCGAAATTATGCGCATTATTTACTCGGATGAATTACGTCTCAAGACGCAAACCTTATCCTTGTGCCTGCATTATCTCCTGTATAATAATATACTATTATTGTTGAAATTGTCATGCAAAAATATTTAAGTAATTATAATTACTTCTAGGATATTTTTCCATAACAATTTTAACAAGGAAATTATTAACAATAATTTACCTACATTTTTTTGTTTAAAACAAAAACAATTAGGTCTAATCAATTTTAAAATAGTAAATTAGTTTTATTACCTGATAATTAATTTTTATCAACTTTTTGTCAAAAAACAAAATATTCATAAAAATAAAAATGTTTTGTTATAGTTTATGTCAAATATAGCTTTGAAATCCAATTTTATTTATTTAAAAAAAAATTTATTTTATTTATTGTAGGAAAATTTTTAATGTAGGGAAAACCGGCAAATGCGTTTGGTTTTTTACGCGACCCTTTTTGATTTTGCTAAATTTTTTGTATCTTTTTGTAAGTATTAAAAGCAACTTACACACCAATTTTCGGCCTTTTATTCCAAAACGTTATAAAGATTTGGATTTTTTTAATTTTTAGGTGAAAAATTAATTATAGACTAGTGATAAATATCGATAGTCGTAAAAAATGGGGCATCATTTTAATCGTATTTAAATGGAGTTTAAGAAAAAAAATAAAGAAAAATTTTTCGAAGTTATTATCATGTAGATATTTACGTTTAAAGCTCAAAATCGACATTTTCAAATAAATACACATTTTATTAATAATTTAGATGAAAATTGTAAACATTTCAATTCAGTAAAATTCATAAAACAAATAAGTCGTCTAAATTCAAACGGTGAAAAGTCATTCTTTTTAGTTTATTTTGCTAAGTTGCAAACTTCCAGTTTCAGGGTGCGCAAAAAAAATACAATTGTAGATTTTGCCAAATGAATTTTTTTCATGTTAGGTGTTGTATAGATAATTTTTAACACAAGTTTTCACATCCAGAATTCCCTGTTTTGTATGGATTTGAACCAAATATATTTCCCCTAAAATACACAATAAAAAATACCATTAGCCATTATTTATACATATGTATATGTATATTAGAGTGCTTCTTTTTTCACGACTATTTTTATTTTTTCGCTCCCAACTCAAAATCTTGTTGAAAATGTTCAAAAAAAAATCCCTGAAAATTTAATTTTAATATTAACTGAAAGTACTCTACCAAAGCGTATAAAGATTTCCCATTTAAAATACACGTAAACTTTGATTATTTTTGTTAAATATCTATATCTCAGCCGCATTTTATGCTATTGGATTGTTTCAAAAAGAGATTTACTCGTAATCAAAAGTTCTACAAAAAGGCTTTATGTGCCATAGCTGTAATCTGCAGTTAATAAGGGATCAAATTTTCAGGGATTTTTTTTGGAACATTTTCAACAAGATTTTGAGTTGGGAGCGAAAAATACTAACATACTAACTAAAAGCATTCATTGTAGATTTATTGAAATAAAACCAAAATAAAAATTAAAAATAGTTTTTTACTTGCGTATAGGATGCTGTAGCATATGAAAATCCACTACCAAAAGAATATTATTTATATTCGTTATACCAGGATGTTATAACAGATGTCCAGTCACTGTTTCGATTGCTACTGCTAGTGCTTTTTACAATGTATAAAATTTGACCAATCTTGGACCAAGTTGCTTCAAATTAAAGAAAATATGTTATGCAAATATGTTCTCTGGCAGAGCTGGGTCGTATTCAAATACTGTAATTGTCTACATTTTCTTTTTAATCTTTTAGAAATTATCATAACAAGATTATTCGAAAATAGTATTTGGATCGATCATTTTAAATAAAATATTAAATTAAACCCATTCGCTATTTTACATATAAAACTTCTGTTAAGTTTAAATGTGAAATTTTGCAATTAATACCAGCGATAGTCTACTATGTTTACTATGTGTACATAATGCGCAATTTATAAAAAAAATTGTTTGGTATGCAAAAACTACATTTTTTTAAATAATGCATTTGCGCAAAATTACCCACCTATCAGGGTAATTTTGCGCATCATAGGGGGAAAATTTGCGCTGTATAGAGAAAGATTTGTAGGTATCTAAATAAACCGTTTATTTCTATAATATTATTATATTAAAACATAAAAATAAAACAAAACTATATTCTCTATGAAACAAACAAAACAAACAAAATCAAAAATAAATAACTAAAAATAAAATTTTTGTTCTTAGAAATAAGAGGGTCTACATGCAGCAGTTGTCACATATGTAGTTTTAGGGGTTGTTTTTTTCGCTACACTCCGCGTGTGCCCAAATGGAACTGTTTGTGCTGAACAATCTAGGCTCCTGTACCAAAGCTCCCATATTGGCCAAATTTTGCAGCGCAAAATTACCCCAATTTTTCAGCGTAAAATTACCCCCATTGCAAGAAAAATAATGTGATACTAAAAAACTTTCCAAAAGTTAACCTGAACAATTTAAACATACACCAGATTACGAGGAAAGATCATATAAAGTTGTGTTATAAACATTTAAGCGATTGGACAGAAATTTAAACTTAACTCGTAGCGGAAACGACATGGATTTCTTAGATCAACGTACATGTATCAGTTAGCTAGTGACCATGGTCACTAGCTAAAAGCTACAAGCTTAATTGCGGTACACTTTAGTCCCCTTATACCCAAAGCAACGTTTCCAAGTTTGCAACATTCAAAAAATGTATTATTTACTTCATATCTGGAAGAATGTTTATGCGTAAAATTACCCACCGCGCAAAATTACCCCACCTTCCCCTACATATATTGTGTTGAATAGTATTTCGTTTACTTAAAAATAGCAGCAATTTCTGAAATTTAATTTTACTCTTTTTAAGTAATATTAAATACTTACGACAGGTTGCAGTTTGAGAAGCAAAAACACAGGAATTTGCTATACGCTGTGCTTCCGAAGCGAGACAGGCATTCCAATACTAAAAAAACATTAAATACACTCACAGGCAAAATAATCGATCCACACAAATTTTCGATGAATTTCAATCGCAAATAACTTTTTTATTTGATGTCGGATTTAAACGAATATTAAAGAATATTGTAGATAAATTAATGGAGAATCGCTCACATTTTAAAAAATTACTTTAAATTGATGTACGTTTATAATATACAGGTTTAAACAAAAAGATGTTTTTTACCATAAGTTTAAGACACTCTGTAGAGTGGCAAAACCTTATATTGTTCTAAATTAAGTTTTATTTAGTCACATCTATAGATATATAGAATATATTCTTAACAGTTTTGTTTTTGGTTCACCTCGATATATTTATTTTTGTGGAAAATATGGATTTTTTAAAAAAACATTGCAATTTCCAATATTTTTCTGTATGAAGAACTAAGGTTGCCATGGTCCATCCATAGGCTATGGAGAATGACAGTGACAGTTTTGTTGAATCATCACATACTTGGACCTGTCATACACGGCTTTCAGAAGCTATCAAATTGTGTTTTTGCAAATTAATGTTTAAATTTTAAGGTGTCTTCTTACTTTACAAAATGGATATGTCTCCGACTGATGTTGCCAGAGCCATTAATTTAATCCAGGATGGACGGTCACAGTATTACGTGGCAAGTGTTTTAAACGTCACAAGAAGTAAAGTACAAAGGGCAACATCAATCGGAGACATTTTTAAAAGTAAGAAGACACCTCAAAATTAACACATTAATTTACAAAAAACAATTTGATAGCTTTTGAAAGCTGTATATGACATGTCCAAGTATGGGATGATTCAACAAAACTGTCACTGTCATCCTCCATAGGCTATGGATGGACCATAGCAACCTTAGTTCTTCATACAGGAAAAATATTGGAAATTGCAAAGTTTTTAAAAAAATCCATATTTTCCACAAAAATAAATACATATATCAAGGTGAACCAAAAACAAAACTGTTAAAAATAGATGTGACTAGATAATTAAAAAATTTAGAACAATATACGGTTTTGCCACTATACAGAGTGCCTTAAACTTAAGGTAAAAAACATCTTTTTGTTTAAACCTGTATATTATAAACGTACGTGTATTTTTTAGTAATTTTTAAAATGTGAGCGATTCTCCATTAATGTATCTACAATATTCTTTAATATTTGTTTAAATCCGAAATCAAATAAAAAAAGTTATTTGCGATTGAAATTCATCGAAAATTTGTGTGGATCGATTATTTTGCCTGTGAGTGTATTATATCATACCAATTTCTTTAAGTTTATCCCCCTAGGTTGGTTGGGAACAGTTCCACGGGCCACTTTAAGCCTAACGTTATTATGCAGATTTACTATTAACGTTTGTTCAGTGGATGACACTCCAGTTGCTAAAAAAGAAAGGGTTTATATTTTTTGAAATGTACAATTTTATAAATCTTACTTATTGTGCCATAGGGACATGTTGCTTCGCTATAATTTATGGCTAATACAGCTAAGAATACGACAAACATTTTACTTCAACTATTGTTTTAAAAATGATTTTAGACGCTCACGAAAATTATATGTATATATATTATATACATAATTTTCGTGAATCAACTTGCAATTAACTTAAATAATTATATTGTTAAAAAAGGCCATCAATATTTATTTTATTTTCAGTAAAATATTGTAAAAAAACCCATATATTGACTACCTATAAATTTATGTACATAAAATTTAACAACAAAGATAAAAATATACGGTGGAGTCTCACATAAACTTAATATTTCCATTTTTTATTTATAAAAAAATAGTTTATTAATAACAATATACAATACAATTGTATTTTTTTGTAGCTGCTATGATATGATTTTTTTTGTTATAATATAAAAAAAATTATATATTATATGTCGTGATCATATACCTAGTTTTGTGTTTTTTAGTATTTTACCATATATTATAAAAATGAATGCGATCCATTGCGATCCTGAGAATAAATAAACATTATTATATTATTATATATTAAATTATTATTATTTTTTAAAACGTTAAAACTTATATATTAATTATTTGTAATAGATGGCGCTGTAATAAAAAAAATCAATTTTGTTCGATTTTTCCTCTGTATACGATTCTCCAATAATATTTAAATAAAATACTTGGTTTTATTTTTTAAATTTATTTATTTATTTCGTTTTAATATTCTGATAACACTGCTCTGGGATATTCCCAAATCTCTAGATAATTCTCGTGTGCTTGCATGAGGATTAGCGGCCGTTGCTGCTAATACATTAATTTCATTATTTCCAACTGTGACCGTTGCTCGACGAACTCTTTTTTTCGGTTGAACACTCCCGTTTGTAGTAAACTGCTTGACTGTACGGTGAAATGAAGTACGTGATCGAATTTTATCCCGAAAACGCTGAGCGTAGATATTAATAGCATCATCAAGATTCCTGCCTGCTTCTTCATAAATCAAAATTATTTCTATTTTTTCTTCCACTGTTAAACAATCCATTATGAATAACTGCTTAACGAAATTAATCTTCGAACTAAATTGATTAAATAATGCAAAACTATAAATAGTTTATTTATACCTCAATAAAAATTATTATTTATAACTAAATACCATTTTTGATACCAAAATAATGTTTTTTTTACCTTAAATGAGGTATTTTTTAAAAATAGTGCAATAATCCTTTAAATGAATGGATTTAATGCTGGCAGGTAAAAAGTGACCATGGTGCGCAATTGATAATTATCACCCATAATATAAGAAGTGGTATGATTATCATCGATGATATTTTCGAATTGAAATCGAGCTGCAGATTTCACGAGTCCGCAGGACGAGTGAAATGTGCTGCTTCGGTTTCAATGAGTAAATATATTGTTATAACATCGATAATTATAATTAATCGTACCACGAGTTATATTTAGTGAGAAAATATAATGAATTGTCAGTTTGACATTTGAAATTAAAATGTGCTTTAAAATATAAAAAGACTTTAATAAACCTTATTTATTCAAACTTACCTTAATTTTATTATCGTTTACACCAACCCATCGATCTTTTAGAGTTTATAATTCATTATTTTAATCATTTAACAAACACAGTATTTAAATGTCAACAAATGTCAAATCAAGAAAAGTGTCAAAATCCTTAGCAACGTGTAAAAAAGGTGATAAAAAATATTGTCGCTGTGAAAAAATGCGTAACCATGGAATACTGTCATTTTATTGGTTCTAATTATATGAATTGTATTGTCCCCGAATGAAATAATGTTTAAAACCAAAGGAAACTTAAAAATTTATTTAATTTAATGAGATAATTATTACCAAAAAAGTGATATTTTAAAAAAAGAATTATTAAAGAATCATATAAGAATAAAAATCGAACAAAATTGTTTCTTTTCATTACAGCGCCATCTATTACAAATATGAAAAAATGTTTTAAACAAAATCTACCTATTTTTAGTCGAATGATCCGAATCTGCAATAAAAATAGGGTGTTCCATTGGAAATTTTAAAGTTACCCCCTCTATAAGGACCAATTTTAATACAGATTGATTTCCCCCCTCGAATCATTAAATTTTTATTTTAAACATTTTTTTGTAAAATTCATACTAAGGTATTTCAGTTTCAAGTTAAATGACTCACCCTGTATACAGGCTGTCCCGAAAATAGTGAGCAAAAGAAAACTTTATATTAACTAAGAGACCAATAATATTTTTAAAATATAAAATTTTAAAAAGACAATTTTTTTTGTTTTTTATTTCTTTTTTAAGTAAAAAACTAAATTTTTATATTAAATTCTTTGATGCATGAAAACTTTAAATTTGTTTAAAAGCAGTTTTATAATGGGACCAATACGACGGCTAATTAGAAAGCTAAAGGAATTACAGTTAATTGAATAAAAGGACCATTCAGATTGTCTCGTACCCATTGCCTGTGGACGAATCCACAGGAGAACGATCATCGATGACTCGTCCGAATCCTCATAAATAAGGACTCGAACAGAATCTGCCTCACGCTCAGAGTACGAGACTATGTCTCGTCATCATGGTTGCGACAACTCTACGTTTGAGTAGAGAGTATGCGAAGATATACTACAGAAATGATCCTGTGAAGTATGATCTTGCCTGTTGCAGCGCTCGCTCGGGTACTTATAGTAGTGGCGATTGATGACGATGGCGGGAGGGAGATGACAGCGACATCTGGTTGCCAGTGGAGTTGTTAGACCTTGGATGCGTACGGTAGATAAATTTGTTACATAATATTCAGATAAAAAAAGGAAACTATTACGAACCATTATTACTTTATAACGCATGTCTTTTTTAGTGCAAAAGTTTGTAATAATATATATTTAAAGCTTAAAATAAATTAACCAAATCGAAATATTTTATTTATATATTATTATGCCATGAATTTGTTTTTTTTAACAATTCCTTTAACAATATTTAGTTATATTGTAAATAGGGTTGGGAAAATTTCACTTTTTGCTTGTACTTGAAATTTCACTTGAAATTTTCATGACATTTATGAAATTTATTAAAATTTCCTAAATTTCATCATAGCACTTTTTGGTAAGCTAATGAGATTGTGCCACTTTCATTGTTTTATATTTATATATATTTATTATTTTTAAATATTTTACTGAAATTTTACGAAAATTAAAGAAACTTCATCAAAATTTTATGAGCCAAAGGCATTTTTTATCCGTTTTCCGATGCAATTATAGCAAATGTAAAAATTTAAATTAATCATGACTTTTAAAAAAAATTTTAAGTCTGATTTAATTTACAAATTAAATTGGTAACTGAATTAAATTATTTAAATTAATTTATGCATATAAGTAACAATAATTACTTATAGTGTATTCAAATCCAATCCGAACTAAACAAAAACGCCCAGACGCTTGATAACTCGTTCTTATTGGTCGATTCGGAATCTGATGTAAATTATTATTAAAGGTCCCAGGGGAGGCCGCATGTGAAATTTATGCGAAATTTTCAGTAAATTGCGAAACTTTCAATGAAATTTCTGAAACTTTCACAGGTAATGTTGAAATTTTCGAATTGAAAATTTTATTTGAAATTTTTAAAAATTTCACTTTTCCAAGTTTGAAACTTTTAAAGTTGAAATTTTCACTATAATAACATTTAAAATTGGTAAACGGTAAGGTTAAGCATTTGACAGATGTCAGATTTTATTTTTTTTAAATCATGTAATTATTTACTTATTGGAGTAGATAAAGTACAGATGATTAATTGAGGAGCATCCGTGCAAAACCGGCTATATCCACTTTAATAAAGTGTTGGGAAAATGGCAAAAACTCTCGGTTTCCTGGCTTTTACAGATAAAAGAAAAAGCAAACTTGAGTTTTGTGGGCTTTGTGGTACTTGATTTATAAGACACTTTCGTTTTCAAAAACTTTATATTAAGGCCAATATTTCAAAAAATGTTTTGTATATAGCCGGTTTTGCTCGAAAACCGAATAAAAAACGAATAAAATGTGAAAAAAAACCTTTATTATTCAAAAATATTAACAAAATAAATTTAGTGCAAACATTAAAAAACAGAACAAATTTTAGTAGTAGTATCGACATATCCAAGCCACATATTAATATTTATTGGATATAGCCGGGTTTGCTATAAAAACGTGGATTTGGCCGGTTTTGCTCCTAAACCTGCCTTTTAAATGTGATTTTAAGATGGATATAGTCGGATGTAAACAGAATTATCTTGGTTGTCGATAGAAATGAACCTAAAGATGCTAAATCAAAAAAATAAACAAAAAACTGAATAAAATGGATTTAGCCGGTTTTGCACGGATGCTCCTCAATTAAGTCCCTCGAATATTATGACATGGTAATTTTAAATTATGAAATAATATAAAATATACAACAGGTATAATAAATAAATAAATAAAACAAAACAGTGATTAAATTAAAGCATTTTGTTTATTTGGTTTAATATTAAGTAGGTATAATAAATAAGTCATCTAATCATCTATAAAATTTATATTTAATATATTTAAGTCTTAGCAAAGGTTTTCACATCCACTGCCCCCTGTCCTATAAGGCTTTTGACCAAGATAGTTTCCCCTAAAAATAAATTTATGTTTCAATTTAATACGGAACAACTCATTATATTTATAATATAGGGTGTTATCTAATTACTGTAATATATTAAAATGGGTAGTGATGAGCCACTGATCGACTAAGAACTTTAGGCTAATCTGGTTGCCTAATTTAATTTATTATGTTATGGTTGGTAACAACCAGCGTTTCCAGATTCTGTCAAAAAAAGTTGCCAGATTTTGTTTAAATTTGGCTTAATTACTAAAACGACAAAATCAACAATGCAAATTGTTAATGTGGCGTTTTTATTAATTGTTGATTATGTCATTTTTGTAATGAAGGTAAATTTAAACAAAATCTGGCAACTTTTATGACAGAATCTAGTGCAGTTCTTTCAAATTTTGAGTTATGTGCTCAAATTGTAAATATCTTAACTAAGGGAAGTGCTTTTGGATTTATTTACACAAATTGTTTAAAGTTTAACCTGTGAACTTGTCCTAATTTCATCTGAGTAAACAGAAAGAAAAAAACCGATGAAAAAAATAGTTTTGTGGTTGTGGAGTTTTTAAAATAGGTACCAAATTTTCTAATCAATGCTTAAGCTAATAGCTGGATGAGTAAATAAATACAGAAGGGTATTAGAGCTTTAAGGGCATAACACTTTTGTATTTATTGAGTTTTTATTTATTTTTTGCATGACAAATTTTTACAACTGGCAACGAGCGGCTACTTTATTGGTTGGTATCTATGTACTCACAGAACACAAGTGCGTAACCAGTGGCGTATCACAAAAAATATAAAAAACTTTATCTTTGGAAAAATATTTTTTTAAATACTTTTACATACCACCCTGTATAATAATTATAAAAATGCTTAAAATATAAGGAAAACTTGTGTCATTTCCAACGACAAATAACAGTCAAGTTAACAACCAATGGATTTAGTCATGTGCAAAAAAATTCAAGAATATTACAAAAAAAATTAAAATGTAAATAAGACTTCAAATTGATTAGTTGCAACCTTGGGAAATTTTAAAAATTGATAAAATAAAAACAATCCTAAAATTTCCCAAGGAATTTGTGGTTGACCATGGGTGTACAGTGTACACCATGGGTGTACACTGTACACCCTGTAAAAATAGTATTAAATATTTTCTTACGCGGGACCGTAGTTGCAAACATATAATTTCTGGAATGCAAATTGGTCATTTGCTCTGAAATATGTAAATCCACACCCAATCCTGTTTGTATCAGCCCAAACAACCTGTTTGTAAAAAATAATTATGTTAAAAGTGTAGGTAATAATGTATAATAATTTATTTACAATTTTGTACAAATTTATTAAATGATACATATTTTTTACATTATGCATTTTATTACATTAATGCATATGTATGAAAATTAAAACTTTCCCCTCCCAAGCAGCATTTTAAGTAAAAGCGTAGAGCTTTGAGACAATATTACTTAATTTAAGTAAATATTTTGTTAAATTAACCTTAAAAATTTACTTTGAAGTAAAGTTTTATTTATGTTATTTTTACCTATTTTAATAACCCTTAAGTTTCAACACTTTAAAGTATTATGAGGGGCGTAATTTTTACGAAAGAAAATTACTTACAAGTGTATTTCACCTAAAGGAAAATTTAACGGTAATTTTAACGTCAGAATTTTTAATAATGGTAAATGTTACTCATAAGTCATAACTTTACGATATTAAGACCACTTTATAACCGTAAATAATTCCTATTCGCCTGGTATTTTTAGGGTTATTAGTGGTAAAAAATACTATTAATATTGGCTAAACAAGGAAAAGTAAGCTTAAAGTGAAAAATAAAACTTTAAGGGAAAATTTTTTCAGGACGCTATAATGAGTTTTTTAAGGCATCCATACTTATCTAAACATTTATATAATATTTTTTCATAAATATTTTATAATAAGGAAAGTTTTAGTTATTAAAAAATGATTAAAGCTAAATGATTTTTAAAAGATTTTATAAAATTTTTTAGGTTTTAAGTTTTGTTGAATTTTTACCCAAGCAATAATTTTTCCTAAAACCGTAAAATATTTAGAGGGCATATAATATTTAAGATGTATCGTGCCTATTTTTATCAACAAATTAATGCGCGTTTGAGTTTTAATGCAAAATATTATTAGTTTTGACAAATTAAGTTAAATTTTTTAATTTTACTCTAGGGTGGCCTTTATTACTTTGTAAGTACCATTTTGTAAAATATAAATTTAAAGAACAAAGAAATTACGAATGTCAATGTTTTAGAAAGAGAGAGCAAACAGTTGGTAATTATAGCGTTATTTTTACGTAAATTTATGGTATTTATATTTTTTGTATTACGTTACTCTCTTAGTAGATCAAAAAGGTTACTATGTAGGTAAAATAACGAAATAAACCATTTTCCAAATTTGGTAATTTTTCGTATCTATACTAGACTAGGCCAAAAAAATTGACTATTATTTTTTTTTGAAAAATATATCGAGAATGTCATTTAGAATGACAAAAAAAAATTCGTGAAAATTTGAGCCCTTAATATTAATTTCGCTATTTTTGATTTTTAGTCATAATTTGATGTTTTACGTTAAAACTGTCAAAACATTAAAGTGAAAAAAATTCCTTTTCACTTATTTTTATATAAAATTAAATTCTCTACAAAAAAGGTCTGATTGAAAATTTTTGTCAGACGAGCCGTTTCCGAGTAATTGAGCTCAATAAATCGATGTGTTTTTCCGATTTGCCCTTTTTACTTTGAAATTTTGTAACTAATGAATCAATGAATATTTAAAAAGTCGGATTCTTAAAGGAAATTTAATGTTCTACAAAAAAGGTGTCTTAACATTTTTGCCTAAATTTAATTCTTCAAAAGTTATTCACGATTAAAATCGAAGATAAACTTAAAATTTCAATTTTTTTGGCCCAGTTATAAAACCGTTTTAGTTAACCGTAAAAATTCTTTGACTAAGTTGACTTGGTAGTAAATTTGTAGTTATTTAAACTTGCTGCTGGGCTTCTATCACTTACCTGTGTGTAGTGACCGGTTGCTCCAGAAAATCCGCTACCAAATTTATAAACGGAATGCTCATTGGTCCATGACGCGATGGCCCCCCTCCAATCACTGCCCCCGCCTGCTGAGGTCGATTTTGAGATGTACAAGTTTTGTCCAACATGACTGAAACCCTCTGTAACAATACGTTTAGAGTTTTATTTTGTTTGAAAATATTACAGGTTTACTCACGGCATGAAGCAGTTTGATGTCCGAAATTACAAGAGTTGGCTATTCTTTGAGCTTCACGGGCCAGACAGTCGTCCCATGACTAAATAAAACAACATATAAATTATTACAAGGAAATACTGCAAGAAATTTAAGTTCTTTGAATAAGTTTAATAATATTAATTCTTAATAGCCCTGTTGTAAATGACCGATGAATTCCTTATAGAAACCAATTGAAGTATTAATACCAACCAATTGGTTGTTATTAATAGGTCTGAAATGGACTTACTGGGTTTAATTGGGAGCGATATAAAACAGAAATTGGTTTTTACTGGTATTTTCCATGATGGAAAAATTCCTGCGAAATATTGAAGTTTAAACGTCAAGTCCTCGTTTTAACTCAAGTGTTAGTAAAAAATTACCTACAGAGCCCGTCCTTTGCACGACAGTCATCTTAAAAACAATGCAAGCGGCGAAGTTGTGGTGAATGCACGTTTAGTTCCAGTCAAAATGTCAGTACTGTGGTGAGTAGTTATTTTCGTATATATAATTCTTTGTAATTTATTTAAGGCTATATGTGATTTCTTGATAAGTAGCATCCACTAATAAAAAATATCAGTAAAATACTTAATTCCGAATTATAATCTCAAATTTGTATCCCATTTATCAGTACCGTGTCGTCAGTTCCATGTTCGATGTTTCGGCTATCTTTTTTTCGCAAACTTCAATTTAAATTCTGCTTGCGCAAAACTTGTTTATTTAATGTCATTACAAACTCATATAAATTTGGTGTGGGTCCCATATCTAATAATTGAGATATCGGTATACCCAAAATCCACCAGCCGCCACTGATGTGTGGTATTATTTGATTTTAAGATATTTAATGTATAATATGCTCAAAGTTGCAATAAATCTTATATTTTCCAATAAATTATGTATTTAATTAGTACCCTGGTATACTCGTCACTTCCCTTGCATTCAAATTTAGAAAACACAGATATTTCAGAAACTGTTTGAAAAAGTGACTGGCCCGGTCTGGAACAGTACATCAAAGATTTCAAATAAGATTGAAATAATAAAATTATTATCTGGATTTAAAGATAAACACAATAAAGAATAATAATTTGTTGTTCCCTGTCATAAGTATTTTAATGACGGTATACATGTAGACAATTACTTGTTACGTAGATATTCAGTTTAATACCCAAGTGATAATAACACATTCAAATTTATATTTTTTTATAACTATATTGCCCATATTTATGTGATTTATCACGGATGTAATTCATTTTAAAATTTTGATTTATGCGTAATAAACGTTTTATTGCTACTGGATTTTTGCGAAATAAATAAATAAAACATTTATTATTTAAATGCACTCTTTTTATTTATTTGTTGTAAATGTAATCGCTGTTTTTCCTTTATTTACGTAGCTATGGTTATATGAAATATAATATTATTTACATTATGTCTAAATCCGGAAATATTAATAATGACATATTTTACATAATGCAAAAATGTTAATTAGTTTTACAATAATTCAAAACTTATTGTTTGTGTTTGATTTATAGCCTTGCGCAAAAAACTAATTTCCTTTAAAAAAGATTGTATGCGTTTTAATATATATATATATATATATATATATATATATATATTAGGGTGGGTCAAAAAAACCGACTATTTTTGAAAAATCGGTTACTAGACACCTCTAGAGAATTCTCACCAAACATGAGCTCTTAATTTTGATAACAAGGATCTCCGCTTTACAATTTTCCATTTTTTCCTCGAATTTGTATAAATTTTCGTAAAACTAAATTGAAATTTTTCCAATTTTTTATCAAAAACTGTTAAAATTAGTATGCATTGAAGTTTGACGATGAATATCTTTTAAACGCTTAATTTAATCGACAAATCATAAGAGACCACTTTTGTAGAGCAGTTAATTTCCTACAAAACTATGGGATGATTCAACAAAACTGTCACTGTCATTCTCCATAGTCTATGGATGGACCATAGCAACCTTAGTTCTTCTTACAGAAAAATATTGGAAATTGCAATGTTTTTTAAAAAAATCCATATTTTCCACAAAAATAAATATATCGAGGTGAACCAAAAACAAAACTGTTAAGAATAGATGTGACTTGATAAATAAAACTTAATTTAGAACAATATACGGTTTTGCCACTCTACAGAGTGTCTTAAACTTTTGGTAAAAAACATCTTTTTGTTTAAACCTGTATATTATAAACGTACGTCTATTTTTTAGTATTTTTTTAAAAATGTGAGCGATTGTCCATTAATTTATCTACAATATTCTTTAATATTCGTTTAAATCCGACATCAAATTTATTTGCGATTGAAATTCATCGAAAATTTGTGTTTATCGATTATGTTGCCTGTGAGTGTATTTCCATCTTAAGGTGTAGTATGCATAAGTTCATTTATGGAACTTGTTACATTATAAACTATATTTTATTTTTGAAAAATGTGCTTACCATTCTTTTTAAATTGACCCCCCTCGGCTGTCCTCCAACCTTTCCATTCGCAATCCTTATACGAAAATTATTATGTTCATTGACAATAACATTTCTTTCATCGCCCGAAATTCCTTGCTCTGAAAAATAAGATAAAAATAAATACAAAAAAACATTTAAATAGTTTTTTTGTATTCTTACGTAAGATTCCATTGGGACAATTAGCCCAACTTCCAGACAAGCTGGCTAGGATAAGCACACTAGATACTACTACTGTTGCACTCAACATAATTAATTTAATAAGCACTTCACCTATCGCAAAGTATTTATACGAGCGTTTTGACTCATCTATCAACGTAGTATTTTTTATCAAGAACCGCACGACAAATGCATTAATTGTTTTAAATACGTGAAAAAACCTGGGGTTATTGCGAAATTAACTTAACAAATCAACAGATTTTATGTTGTTCTATATATTTGCACGAGTTAATATTTGTATCGTGATGGGACTAAAATTTATATTGCCTTGGTTAGAAAAAACTTTTTTTTATTTTTATTATACCGTGAAATCACATTTTGTTTACACTAAGCAACAAAAATAATTAAAGCTGCAGCTTATTAACCAAAAAAGGGGGAGGTAACGTTTAACAAAAAATTAAAAAAACAAGGTCAACAAAAAATGGTAACATTTCAAGATGGTGCGATATTTTTGTTGCCTTGCTTATAGAAAAGCTAGAGGATATCCTCTATATATAACAAAATTAGTATAATATAATAATTTAATGATTATAATCATTAAGGTATCCTATCCTATCTGAAAACGTGCAACAAATGTTTGAATTTTATATAAAAGTGGTACTATTTTTTGCTGAGCGTTTTATTTAAATATCATTAAAATTATGTTTACAACGTTTCTACATTAAAAATTGGACAAGTATCCACCAAACATTTAAAAAAGATTACATATTTTGTAACCTTAATTATTCCTATTAAACATCAAATATTATCAGGTACACATTTTATTTAATAATTATAATATAAAAACTTATTTAAATAATTATAAAGATATATTTATTAATTTATAAAGAAATTCGTAAGTTGCGGTTCCACCGTCAGTAGTTCTTTATAAACAATTATTTTATCATAAATTAGGTACAATTTTCCTTAAAAAATAAATTGAAATAAATATGATTTATTTAAACGAAATTGAAGTTAAGGTACTTTTAAAATCAAACTTTTAAACTTTTCTTTTTGGTCCAAACACTAAAAATAATAAAATGAAAAACAAGGGATTATTAAAATAATATTATTGTAATATTTAATCAAATTATTAAAAAAATTAATTTAATGTACAATTAGTAGTGAAATAAAAAACATGGGAGCAGTTTTAATCTTTAAAATTACTTGCATTAGTACAATTTTCCTTAAAAAATAAATTGAAATAAATATGATTTATTTAAACGAAATTGAAGTTAAGGTACTTTTAAAATCAAACTTTTAAACTTTTCTTTTTGGTCCAAACACTAAAAATAATAAAATGAAAAACAAGGGATTATTAAAATAATATTATTGTAATATTTAATCAAATTATTAAAAAAATTAATTTAATGTACAATTAGTAGTGAAATAAAAAACATGGGAGCAGTTTTAATCTTTAAAATTACTTGCATTAATACATTTTTCTACTCCCACCTTTAAAACGCCCTTTATCGTACATATGTTTCCATGACACTAAGTGACCTTTTAAATACACATTGACAAGTTGTGGCTTTACGGCGCTTTAGTCACGGGCTGAAGTTAGCAACAGGTTTTTAGTCACGGGCTGAAGTTAGTTTTAAGTTAGTTGACAGTTGTCAAATGTCATACAATCGTTAAAATACATTGCTTTTCTTGTAAAATAATACTAAGTGAAAATTATTTTATCTCAATACAAAAATACAAAAGTATTAAATAGTTTCTTAACGCCAATATTTGAAAAATTTTTATATGAACATTGTAATTTCGCCGGCAGAAAACTATAACTTAAATTCGGGCACGGACTCCCCTGTAAAGTGCTCATAAAACATTTTTACTGTGAAAAACTTTCAATTTTCAAGAAATACATTTCGATTTATAACCTTTATAAAATTTGACATTTGACGGTGACACACAGATTCCCCTATTGTTTCATAGATGGTGATCTATACAAATTTTTGATATAATTAAATCAAAAATTTGTATAGATCACCATCTATTGATCGATTTAAATCAATTTTTTGTTACTTTTTTTTTAAATATTGGATCCAAAAAAATCAGAGTTTTTCTATTTTTAAAAAAAAACATGATTTTTTAAACCCTGCTAATTATTGTTATAACATTTTAGATAAATATTTATCTAAAATACACTTATACAAATTCATTTGAACACAAAATAAAACATAATAGATTTAAATCATTCCTTTTTACTATTTTTTTAATTATTGTATCCAAAATTTAATTAAAATCAAAAATATCTGATTTTAATAAAAAAAAATCGATTTTTATTTTTTCAAAAAAATCATGATTTTTTTTAAACCCTTTTTTTTGTACGTAGAATCTGCTGCTAAAGTATTGCACGCTAATTATGAGGCACTAACCATTCGCCAATGTTAATATGCAAAATATTTGAAGTAATATTCATGAATATTACTTTTAAAAGTAATATTCATGAATATTACTTCAAATATTTTGCATATTTATTTTACAAAATACTATATTAAAATATTTTTTAAATTCTTTCACGGAAATACTAAATATCTATGCAAATCATTTTGCTGAAAACTTTATTAATAATGGTATTTTTTGATAAATAGGTAGAATACAATATAAATTTGTTGAATTCTTTCACGATATACCGGGTATTTAATTTAAAGAACAAATTAACTTAAGGTACATTCAAAGGTTGGTAGCAGAAGTTGTAAACATAAACAATCGTTATAACGATTGTTTATGACTAAAGGACACTATAGTGTCCTTTAGTCATAAGGAATACTTACCTTAAAAATTATAACATAATAATAATAATTACACTGTGCTAGTCGCAAAAATCAACAGAGGGGAGACATATGTGGTAAAGTCAATTCGAGTACGCTGAATCCAGTGGTGAAAGCCGTTTTTCGAAGTTAGCGAAAATAAGCGATTTTTTTCGATCGGCGTTTTTCAAAATGTACCATTTTATAGGTCACTTTTTAGATGTTTCGATTTCATTCAAAATGTGTTTTTAGGGGTTTTTGGGAACGAGAAAACCGAATATGACATTATTTTTGCGATGCGATCGCGATTTGACCAAAATTGGCATTTTTTAAAATTTCACTGAATTTATCTGACATATTTAATCCAATTCATAATCACAACACAAGAAATATCAATGATTTTTTTATTAACACTGCAGGGTCAGAGAAAAAAACAATAAAACATAAAGTTTTTATTGTAAATATTGACTGTTTTAATACATTTAGCTAAATAAACGTATTATTTATTTATTTATTATTACAATCGTAAATAAGCTGGTTATTAGAAGTGAATTAAAATTTCATTTAAAATGGATTCTTGTGTTACAAGTTTTAATTGCTTTTGTTATATTTGTGGAAAATACACTATTATGGCAAATCGTCGTAAAATTAATGCGGAAATTATTGAAATATATATACCAGCTATACTTCGATCAAAATATTATTTGTGATGTAAAATGGGCTCCGTCTACTATTTGTACTGGGTGCATGGGAAATTTGAGTCAATGGAGAAAGGGTAAGATCGACTCTATGCCATTTGGTATTCCTGTAATCTGGACAAATCCGCAAGTTCACAATCCGGATGAATGTTATGTGTGCGTTAATTTCAAACCCGGAACAAACAGAAAAAAGACACGTTCTATGAAATATATAGCAACAAAATTTGTTCAGTTGCCATTGCCGCACTCGGAAAATGTTCCTGTACCGAAAAGACCGAGTCCAACAGCTGTATCTATATCCACAATATCCGAAACAGTTGAAGGAGGAAGTAATTTCGACTATGTGCCAACAAATGTCACTCCTGATTGCGATCATACCGAAATCACGCAGGATCGTCTTGACATTATTGCACGGCGGCTGAAGTTATCGCAGCGACAGACAATTCTCTTGGCTAAAGATTTAAAAACGTTAAATCTTTTAGCACCAGATGCTCGCGTTTATGGATCCATCGGCCGTCATCGCAATTTTACACGTTTTTTTAAAGCTATCGAAAATAATTCACTGGCTTATTGCGATGATATTCGTGGTTTGGTTTCCACCTTGCACAACGGATACAACCCGGAAGATTGGAGACTCTTCATTGATTCATCCAAAAGTAGCTTAAAAGCCGTTCTACTCCACATTAAAAATTCAAAAAAATCCGTGCCACTAGCACAGATACAAAGGAAAACTATTTGTCATTGAACAAGATTCTCGATTTATTGAAGTATAATGAAAACAAATGGAAGATTTGCGCAGATTTAAAGGTTGTTTCTATTCTCTCTGGTCTGCAATTGGGCTACACGATGCATTCAACGAATTACATCGTATTTTTCCACGTTTGAGCGGAATGAAAATAAAAGAAGGTGTGTATATATAATACCAATTTAATTGTAATAAATTTCTATCATGATTTTTTATGTATTACAGGGATTCTAAACGGTCCAGATATCCGCCGATTAATGCGAGACGAACAATTTGAAGCTGCGCTAAGTGATGTCGAGCTTGTAGCGTGGGACACTATAAAAGCCGTGATTAAAAACGTTCTTGGTGTTCATCGGGCGGAAAATTGGCAAGTTCATGTCCAAAACATGCTCGACGCATTTCACAATATGAATGTGAATATGTCTTTGAAGATTCACTTCCTTCATTGTCATATTGACAAATTTGCGGAACAGTCACCGGCTGAATCGGACGAGCACGGCGAGAGGTTTCATCAAATGACAGCCAGATTGGAACATTGGTACAGTGGGAAGAAACTCGGTGCACTTTTGGGAGATATTTGCTGGAATTTGCAAGAAGAACAGGATGATTAAAAAACATCTCAATAAAGAAATTTTGTTCAACATTAAATTTGGTTTTTGTTTATGTTTTGTGTCAAAAAAAAACCTTTTTGTGAGATAAATTCAGTAAAAGTTTAAAAAATGCCAATTTTGGTCAATTTTTACAATTTTTTTTTACGGGAACTGCCTTAAATCATAATTTTATAGCAAAAATATTATCATATTCGGTTTTATCATACCCAAAAACCCCCAAAAACACATTTTTAATGAAATCAAAACATCTAAAAAGTGACCTTAAAAATAATCCATTTTGAAAACCGCCGATCGAAAAAAATCGCTTATTTTCGCTAACTTTGAAAAACGGCTAT